AACATAACAAACTTCTTCCACTACTCGTTGACTGTATCACCACAGAGCTAGCTTCCACCACCACAAAGCCGTTATGTGAAGAAGTGAACGCATTTACATCAAAAGCATTCACTTTGGTCTTGATGATCGGAGAGAGTTTGTCGAAGCTTTCTTTTCAAGACCGAATTTTCAAACCGCTTCTCACCGTCATAAGATCGAAAAAGGTTACTAAGAGCCCTTTAGAACTCATGGCGGCCTCTTCGGTCAAAAACCGATTAGTCATCGTGGATAACTTGGCTATATTGAAACAAAAATTGAATTCCAAAGATTTAGCTGCTGTTTGGAAAGCTCTCTTAACGTTCAGCCTTACATACATGCCCGTCGAAGGAGACTCTCAAGCAGATCAAATAAGACTTCAAGACTCTTATTTAGGCAGTTTGGATAAGGTGATAGAGATTTTTGATTTTTCATATATCAAAAACGACTTGCTCCCACTCATATGTCTGGTTTTTAAGACGACCACAGTGTTGTCCACAAAATTGTCCACGATTGAAACCTTTAAGTTGCTAGTGACGCGAAAGTTGATAGATCAAGGTACAATCGTGGAAGTCATTCTCCCAGTGTTCGAAAATCTAAAGAGCCGTGACAATAGGATCATTCGTTCAGTAATCAGTTACTTCGTTGTGCAAATTGAAAGTGATATCATTAAGCAGTTGGATATATCCGTTGAAAGGCTGCTTTCTCAATGTCTTCGTTTAGCATTTGCTTGTGAAAATTGTACTCAAAGTGAGTTTCAAGATTTCATGAAAACAATCAAATCTATGGAGAATACCCTAGCGCAAAAGAGATTAGACGAATTGCCTAGTAAGGCCAAGCCTGCAGCAGAAACTGAAGGCCCCGTCAGCTTTGATTCCTTGATCAACTCAGCGCTGATCAAGGGGCAGTCTGAAACTGGCGAAGTGCCAAAACACACAATCATGAAACCGACTCGAGATTTTTCCAAATCAATGAACGAAGAGAGTAAGTCATTCGAGTCTCGGCCCCAAGCCATCGTCAACAATACCGGTGCGTCAGCTAAACCCTTAAATCTCGGAAATAGAACACCTTTGGCAAGGACAAACAACCATGATTACTCCATTACTCTCAATGGGCAGAATCAAGGTATGAAGGGAAGTTCTTTTGGTTCTACCAACCGAAACCTAGACAACATCAACCTACTTCAAGATCGCACTCGCGGGCCATCCAATTCAGCCAGTAATACAAAGATTCCGCCTGGCTTTTCGAACACAACGTTAGTGCCTAGCTTGGTCACAAAATCAAAAGAGAATTCTGAGGTCGACTTGATTTGATGGATAAACAGACGTTTTTTGAAATCTAGCAAGACAGTGTGCGTACGTGGAGAATAAAGAGGGGGTTGGTGAGGTAAGGATATCACGATGGTTATCCGGGAATCCATGTTGGTCTTTACTTTATATTCGTGGACAAGTCCGATAATAAATTATTTTCGACCTTCACTGTCAAAAGTCGTAATTCCGTTATGCTTAGTAGACACGCTTAGCAGGAGGGACAGGCTTGCAGTCGTTCTCATCCAAGGTTGTTTTGATGACATCTCTGTAATCCAACTTCACTGGAGAGCCGAACTCAGTCTGATATGAGAGAGTGTGCTTCATCCAGTTAACGTCATCCCTATCTGGGAAGTCATCTCTGGCGTGAGCACCTCTAGATTCCTTTCTTGCTGCAGCGGAAGCCGCAGTTTGAGTGGCGCAAGTCAAAAGATTTTGCAACTCCAACGTTTCAACTAAGTCAGAGTTCCAGATCATCGATCTATCTGTGGTCCTAACGTTCGCGAAGTCTTTGTCAACTCTGTTGATCTCTTCCACACACTTGTCCAAAGTCTCTTGCATTCTGAAAACAGCACATCCTTTTTGCATGGTTCTTTGCATGTCGCCCCTGATGTCTGCAGTGGGTTTGGAGCCATTGGCATTTCTCAACTTGTCGAGGTTTGCAATCGAATCCAACCCAAGATCTTTCGAAACGGGCTTGAGTGGAGTTCCTGGGGTCAAAGAATCCCTAATAGTATGAGACACAGCTCTTCCGAAGACAACTAAGTCCAAAAGGGAGTTAGCACCCAACCTGTTGGCACCATGAACTGAAGCACAAGCGACCTCACCACAGGCCAATAAACCTGGAACAATTTCATCATGCCCATCGGGACCCTTTTTCACAACCTCACCAGTCCACTTAGTAGGCACACCACCCATATTATAATGCACTGTTGGTAGGATTGGAATTGGTTCCTTGGTGACGTCAACACCAGCAAAAATATGGGCTGTTTCAGAGATACCGGGCAATCTTTCCTTCAATACCGAAGCAGGAATGTGAGACAACTGCAAGTACATGTGGTCCTTCTCTGGTCCCACACCTCTACCCTCGTTGATCTCCATGGTGATGGCTCTGGAGACAACATCTCTGGATGCCAAGTCTTTCGCAGAAGGTGCATAACGTTCCATGAAACGTTCACCCTCGGAGTTGAGAAGGTAGCCTCCCTCACCTCTGGCACCTTCAGTAATTAAACAACCAGAGCCGTAAATACCTGAGGGATGGAACTGAACGAATTCAAGATCCTCTAAAGGTAATCCTGCTCTAGACACCATTGCATACCCATCACCTGTACAGGTGTGAGCGGAGGTACAAGAGAAGTAGGCTCTTCCGTATCCACCAGTAGCAAGAACGGTCTTGTGAGCCCTGAACCTATGCAAAGTACCATCTTCCTGATTATAAGCGACGACACCAACACACTCGCCATCTTGCATCAACAAATCCATAGCCATGAACTCAATGAAGAAGTGTGTATCGTGTCTCAAAGACTGACCATACAAAGAATGCAATAAGGCGTGTCCAGTTCTGTCCGCCACAGCACACGTTCTGTAAGCTTGGCCACCTTTACCATACTCCTTGGATTGACCTCCGAATGCTCTTTGGTAAATTCTGCCCTCGTCGTTTCTGCTGAAAGGAACACCGTAGTTCTCCAATTCGTAAATTGACTGTGGAGCTTCCTTTGTCATGTAGTGGATCGCATCCTGATCACCCAACCAGTCAGAGCCCTTCACAGTGTCGTACATATGCCAGTGCCAATCGTCCTTGTGCATGTTTCCAAGGGCGGCATTAATACCACCCTGAGCAGCAACAGTGTGCGATCTTGTTGGGAACAACTTACTGATACAAGCTGTTTTGAATCCGGCTTCAGCTAATCCGAAGGCTGCTCTAAGACCAGCGCCACCAGCGCCTACGACAACACAGTCGTATTCGTGATCGATGACATGGTACTTTTGTCCCAAATATTTCGTAGCATTGGCAGTCTCTCCCTTCGCGTTACCAATAACTTGTTTGGCCACCGAGGAGGCGGAGAAATTTCTGATAGCTCTCAACATAGCCAAAAGATGTATTCGTCAAAGAAAAATTCGTCGCGGGCAGTGCAAGCCAGTATGTAAGGATATATATGGGGAAGATGGTAATGAAAAAACCGCGCATTTCTATTCGTTAGCTGTTCGCACTGAGAATAGTAAAGCCGAATTAGTCCGGGGCACAGGAACACAAACACATGCTCAACAGCCCTATCTCATAATTCAGCACGTCATAGGAGGTTTGTTGTTCTGTAATTAATTAAGGGAAGAAAAAGATGCTTAAGGGGTGAAGTTACGTAAAAGGGAGAGATCTGGTTTTCAATTTGATGGGCTCCTTTCAAATACTTCATCATGAACAATCACCTTGTTCTCTAGCCGTGGGCAGATGAAATATTCCTAGGTATTTATCGGGCCTGCTAGAGCGTAAGATAGCTCGGCCACCACGGCAGGTAGTCTTGCCAATATTTAATTAGGGAAGATGTTACATTGACGGCACGCTACCACTGGGATCTTATTATTCATCAGTGTTCATGTTCAAGTCTGACTAGAAAATGACATCATCCTCATTCGCTTTCAAAACGTCCTCAGTCTCTGCATTTTCAATTGTGTCCAGGGCTTCAAGCTCTCTGGCCACCTCGGATGCTTCAATTTGATTCGCATGGTCTGGCAATTCGTCCTGACCTGTGCCATTAGCCTTCGCCTTTGCCTCTTCCAACTCTGCCGCAGCGGACGCCTCCTGCTTTTTCTCTTGAACTTTCTTCAATCTATAAAACTCTTCCCTATCCATCTCATCCAATTCAGCGTTGATATAACTGATAGTATTTTCGGTTCTTGGAATGATAACATGCTCAATTGCATTAACTCTTCGATTGGTCACCTTGATCACCTCATCCAAGATAATAAAAGCAGTCTGGAGCGACGCCAACTCGACTAATGTTTCGACGGCTTTGGTATACACCATCTTAGCCTTTTGCACTTGCTGGCCTCCCCTGCCCAAACCAGTGAGTTTAAAATCGTTGATGTCCTCGTCCACGCTACTATCGAAGGTGGGAAGGTAAACACCAGACACGTTCTCTTGTTTTGCTCTGACCTGGAATCTGGCCTTCTGAACACTTTCCTGAACTTGGTAAGAAATGTTGTCCCCTGTAGCATACTGAACCTCTGCTAATGAGAATGCAGCAGTTTGCATGACTCTGCCCATCTTTCTTTTTGCATCGTCAATCCTTTGGGTTATGTCTCTGAATCTCTTCGTCAATGCCTCGGACTTACGTTTCAACAATGAGTGGCCTTGTTGAGCTCCTTTTAACTTGCTCTTCATGACACCAAGCGTCATTCTAGTCGGAAAGACCTGCTCTCTGTTTCCAGCACCTGACATTTTAGCGACTAGAACCTTTGTGTATTACTTCGAGCAACTGCTGGCACACTTGAGGAGGTATCAGGGGTGTACGGATCTTGTGTTTCCCAGCGAGAACCGTGCCTATGCCTTAATTTGGCCTTCCGTCGTTCTAACGTAAAAATTTGCAAACCGAGGATTTAATTAAAGTTAGCTAAATAAGACTTAGACTTTGTCATTTGATCAGTGCCGAGCACAATGCAACTCATTGTCGAGCGTTCAACCTAACAGAGGTGTGGAGGCAAGAGGAAATTGGGTATCGAATTCTTGATGAAGAAAGTGTGTTTGCAGTTCTGACATATCATTTTGCCTTCCACGATTTGAGTTTCGATTAAGAAGGTATGTAGATCCCTTAGTAAGGCCTGGTTTTCCTCCATGATGGGGTCAATATTCGAGGGCTTTTGAATGGGAAGTTCCTCGTTGCCGAGATCTTTGGCGACCTCTCTCAAGGCTTCCCAGTCTAACCGTTCAAGCATATGTGTGACAAAGTCAGCATTAAAATCTTGGGAGGACTGGACAAGCTCGCAATCCACGTATTGTAACGGAAACGCGGTTGAAGCTGAGTCGCAGCTTTTTGAAGCACACTTAACAAAATTGGTTGTGATGAGTTTCATTTTCGAACTATAATGTGATCTTGATGCTAGTCGATGAGCGATGCGATCTTAGCATGAGTTTTTCTCTTGATGACTGCATATACGTACTCACGTCTGAACCCTCATAGCCATGAAGCTCGACTCTGGCAATAGTTTGAGAACGGGATTCTTTTTTCCAACATTATTTCTAGAAAGATATCCTGTGACAGGTTCGTCTTTCTTTTCCTCTCTTTCAACTTTTTCACCAATATGTCGATCTTCCGCAACTGCTGTGAGGTGTGGTCGAAGCCAACTAAACTTCGATTCGAAATTAGAATCGCGATCTAAAGCACGCAACGTCGCGTTCAAAGAATCACCCTCGAAGATGTTCCTCATATCGTGTCTTGTGTCCGATTCATACTCATTGAGCCGTCCTGACAGGCTCAGACCATCATCATTTGCAATACGTAGCAAGGTATTGAGTACATTCTCGGCCTCATCATATGCTTCTCTGAATAAAAGAAGAGTCAACTTCGATCTCAAATGCTTAAATTCAGAACTGGAAATTCGAGGTTCTTTGACTGAGAAACGCGTGGAAGCAGACTCATTTTCACCATTTGAATCTGCAAAGACACTTTCGTTCGTATCGATGATTGGCTTTTCCTTGAAGTATGTTGCACGGAAACCGTTGTGAAATTGGTGCGTCGGAAATGTCTCGAGAAGCAATGCCTGGTAGTTGTGAAGGCCCAGAATCCCAAAGTGTTGATATAATGCGTTCAACGCTTCGTCGATCACCTTTGGTTCGATGGTCGGAATGAGAGTTCGGCAAAGATCCAAAAGGAGCTCACATTTGGCAATCTCTGTGCCGTTAGACAAGTAGGATTCAAATGCAGCCCTTATATCTTTCATCAAATCCTGGTGACCTTTTGTTCGAGTTCCAAGAGATTCCTGTGAGGAAGCGATGAACTTCGTTGTATCAGACCTCTCGTGATTAAGATACTTTGCAGTTGTTGTCTCGTAAATCAAAGAATGGAAAAGATCCGATTTGAAAGACTCGGATATTTCTATCTCCAGCGAGGTAAGACTTTCAAGTATCACATCCCCTATAAGGTACCGAAGAAAGGCCTGGAATGCGTTTCTTTCACCAGCATAACAGAACTGATTGTCGTCTGTTGCTTGAGTTGAGACGAAGTTGCGATCCATGAATGACCAGCGCGGTGAGTTTTTGGCAGTAAATAGCGTTTTCATACCCTCTTTGGTCATGAAATTGCTTGTGATGGACAGTCTTTTTAGTCTGAAGTCCAGCGCAAGATTCTTGTTGAGTATCTCACTATTTGTTCTTTGATAAGTCGAGCCCGAATTACTTACTTTTGACTCCGACAGAGAATCATCAAACGCCCTCTCTTTCTGCGACGCTCGATTTTTGAGTGCCTCTATTTCTTTTCTTATTAGCCGCTCTTCTTCTTCCAACTCTTCAAGTTCTATGATCTGAGCACGGAGTTTATCAAAATTATCTTTCTCTTTCAGGTGAACAATTTTGGCTGACCTCGTAGTAGATACAAATTGCAAATGTACCAATATAGCCAAATTCGACACTAAAAACAAGATATGACTGGGACTCCTCACAAGTCGTAGGAATAGCTTCAGCTTGGGCGACATCAGAAGTGCAGGGTGCATCATGCCGCTTCTTGTGGAATTCATAACATTTTGTAAATGTAGAGACCGACGAGGCCCTCGTTGTAGAGCTCTGGAAGTCCACATGGTGGGTTTGAGACTTTTGCTAAAGGCTTTAAAGTGAAACCATGAGCTTTCGCGAAAAATGGTCTGAGAAGAGAACAGAGACAGGTCTACCTTTAATGACAAGATACGTTGCAAAAAAGGTTGTCTCTTTTTATTAAAACAAAAAAAATAAATAAATAAAAGAAAAAGTCGAACCCATGCTTAGTTATTTTAAAAGCGGAGAGAAAAGGGTCTAGTAATGGCACGTGACCCAGGTTGTCTTGTCAGATTTCAGTTTTCGAAAACGAGGACAACTAACGAAATGAAGCTTCTCCAATTAACGAGAGTTTTTTATACGTTTTTCGGCTTGTCGTCCGCTTCGAGTTACTTTGACAATGCTCTGGGCACAGAGTTAGAAAACTTCGATCTTGATTACTCAATTGAGGAGTATCCAGATATCGCTTACAATGATGTTGCGGAAATGGATGTCGGTGAACAAATTAAGTTGCTCCACAATTTCTCCAACCGTGAAAATAAGGATATTACAATTGTTGGTCTTGGAGGTGCTTTTAGGGACGCGATTACTGGGGAGCCTCTTGTGAACCTTACATCAACTACTGTGGGGCCCATAATTATTCCACCGGGCGAATCATCAATAATCGGTCAAAAAATTAATCTAGACTTTGGAGGCGGCAATTTTCTTTTGTCGCCTCGGGTGTTTGTTGCATTCAATGATGAAGTCAAAGTCGTCCAGGCAAGACCTCAGTTGACCGTTATTAAAGAGAAGCCGCTCTCATTCTTCGACCCTCAACTTATGTTTTTGGAGGTTTTGCTTCTTCTTGCTACAGGAATTGGATTATATGTTGCTGTTCCCTCTATATTCTCTGAAAAGAAGGTGTCCCCCGTCCAAGAGAAATCTACCAAGAGCACAGGATTCGACCCTTCATGGGTTCCAAGTCACCATCAGCACACTCAAAAGAAAAGTAAAACAAGAAAGGCGTACTAAAAATTTGAAACTCACAATGAAGTTTGGGTCACGTCATCGTTCTTCATTGAAAGGAATTATGATTGAACAGAGACTTATTTTAAGCAAGTATTCGTACTGTAGGCCAGAGTTGTGTATGTTCGTGTAGTGAGCGCTAGTACACCTCTCCCACTTATATTCAGGTCTCAAGTTCAGGTATCCCGAAACCAAGCAAAAATAGCCATTGTGAATGCGATTATACCTTAATGAAAGACCACGAACATTCATAGTTCTTGATGCAAAATATTCGCTCATCTTGAGGCATCCTGCTCCCACGTATACGAATCATAGTCGTTCCAAACGCCATGTGGGACACAGACACCATGATGGCGCAAGCAACGAGGAGCGAGACCCGCAGAAAGCACGTCAAATATCTAACAAAGTTATTGTGGAGTTTGTCAAGACAGATTTGCTTGATCTTTCAACTTTTAAAGACATCACTCCTAGTAAATCCAGGCACAACAAAACTTTATTAGGATTCATAGGGTTGCATTACGTGAAAGGCAACATTCACCTCGGCTTCATCACTAGATCGACTAGAGTTGCGTCAGCAAGACTAAACGAGACGGTAAATGTTATAACCGACGTCACATTTTACTGTCTAAATAATGATGAGTTCGATAAGACGATCAACTTGAGCGATGAAGAGCTGGGACATCATGTCCAGAATGAAGAAACAGACTTGCACACGAGATATCCATCATTATCAGTGCAAAAGCTTCTCAAACTGGGACATTTTTACTACTCAGATGACTTTGACATCACCTCTAATCTTCAAGAAAGGGGTATCTCGATGATGGATGGCAACCGTGTTTCAGCAGACACGCCTTACTTCCGAAGCTTCATGTGGAACTACAATATGATTACTGAAATGATTGAATTTCGAAATGGGTTAAGTGCCATCGAAAAGCAGTGTTTTGATGAAGCAAGGTTCTCCACTATCATTACCAGGGGCTATGCTAAGACAATCAATATTAGTTTAGAGAACAAAGACGAAGCGCTCCTTACATTAATTTCGAAACAGTCCTGCAAAAAAAAGGGTCCCTTGTTCGGCGATTGGGGATGTGACGATGATGGAGCCGTCTCTAACTTCGTTGAGAGTGAAATTATCATCTATTGCAAGAGGTTTTGTTTTTCATACGTCATTGTACGTGGTAATGTACCAACATTTTGGGAGTTGCAAAATTCTTTTGGTAAGAAAAGCATTATCTCTAAAAATTCAAAGAAACTTGTGTTGACTAGATCGTTTGAGGCAGCCCAACATGCGTTCACTAAGCATTTTGAGTCTCTTGGTATCCAATATGGGGATATTCATGTTATTGATTGCCTTCTGAGAGACCAAGGTTCCTACAAAGGTCAGCTTAAGGATAATTATAGGGAGCACCTTCAAGCATTCTGGAATTCGAGAGAGCGCACTCTAGATTACTACGGGGATGATAAGGATTTGTTTGCTGCATCGGCCAACTTTACCGTTTCAGCTACAGATATGCCCATCTCCACTTCATTCATGAAGAAAATTGGATACTCCGCATCGAACCCCAGCGAACTCGTAGGGCCGTTGGTTGATTACATTCTCAATTTCGGTGCCTTGTTCTACGACTTCGAGGACCAATCTTACATCGGCAAACAACTTGGTGTCTTTCGAGTAAACTCCTTTGACTGTCTCGCCAAGGCCAACTTTATTAGCAAGGTAATCTCTCAGGAAGTTATTGAACTAGCTTTCAGGGACCTAGATATTCATGTGGATGAACAAATTCGCTCACAACATGCAAAGCTTTGGAAAGAAAATGACGAGGTTTTGAAGGACCTTACACATAACTACCTCTCCACGTTGGCGTATACCCCCGGTGAAAAATCGAACAAGAGAAGTCTCAAGACTCAGCTTGCGAAAAAGTATCTCAATGTTGTCGGAGATATTCGACCTAACGAGATGGCCATGCGCAAGCTACTTGGCAGGTTGCAAACTCAAGAAAAGGTGAAGATTTATAATCCACTTCACCAGTATGTCTCCGCCGAGTTACGCAAGAGATCGGGTGAGTACAGCTTCAAGAAAGACATCAATATATTTGCGTCTACCTTCAATGTGAATGGTGATTTGTGCAAAGATGAACAAGTGAGCCAATGGATTTATCCTCAAGGACTTCAAGGCTCTAAAGAGTACGACATAGTTTTCATAGGTTTCGAGGAAATTGTCGAGCTAACACCGGGTAAGATGATGAACGTTCGATCTGGAAATCTAATGACATGGGAAGCTCAAGTGAGAAGAGTTCTCGAAGGGCTGCAGTCAACACGGTCAAAGTATGTTTCTCTTTGGAGTGGTCAGATGGGTGGTATTGCATTACTTCTCTTTATTAAAAGTGAGCACGTTGGTCAAATCCTGAATATCGAGAGTGCAGTGAAGAAAACAGGTTTGGGCGGAATGAGTGCAAACAAGGGAGGCATGGCCATGAGTTTACAATATCTGCGAACGAAGTTTTGCTTCGTATGCTCCCATCTTGCTGCGGGCTTAAACAATCTCGACGAAAGACATCAGAACTACAAAACCATAGCAAAAGGCATAACCTTCTCGAAGAATCGCAAAATTCGTGATCATGATGCCGTCATTTGGGTGGGGGACCTCAACTTCCGCATATCATTAACAAACGAAGCAGTGCGTTCTCTAATTGAAGAAAGAAATTTCGCAAAGCTTTTTGATCATGATCAGCTTAACAACCAAATGGCGAAAGGAGAAACATTCCCTTTTTATGATGAGATGGAAATAAGGTTTCCTCCCACATATAAGTTTGATAACTATACGCGAACCTACGATACATCGGACAAACAGAGGATACCCGCATGGACCGATAGGGTGCTACATCTATCTCGAGCCAAAATTCTAAGGCAGGAACTGTATGGCTGCTGTGAGGATATCGTATTTTCTGACCACCGTCCGGTTTATGCGACATTTACTGCGTCAGTCGTGATGATCAATGAAGTGATGAAGAAACAAGTCTCCAACGAAATTTATGAAGGCTATAAAAGTGTTGTGGGGGGGGTCAACTATCTCCTCACAGGAAGTGATGTACTCAAATTTGTCGCAGATTATTCAGAGAGAAACATGCCCCCTCCCAGTTCGGATTCGTTCAAATGGTGGCTTCAAGGCGGATTACCTGCAAAAGTCACCATCAAAGAGTTTCTGGATGGAATTGATACAGACGAAGTAATCATTAATCCTCGAGCTCCCATCAACCCTTTCCATGCAACGACTGAGCCAGAGGCTCTAAAACTGTCAGTCTTATTGCTGCTGTTGGTGTGATAGGCCTCAAAATACCTGCTCTTGGGTTCAAGCTTCTCTTCTATTCGGTGAATCTTCTTGCTCGATGTCAACATCCATTATTTCGATCAAGTTGTTCATTTTGTTATCAAGATCATCGAGCATTTTTTCCAAAGCAGCGGCTTGAGCTTCTGCTTCGTTAACTTGCTTGAGCGCCGTGGCTAGGTCAACGTTTTCATCAGACATGATAGCTGTATAAATTCAGGCGAGGCAATTATCCTGAGTTCCGTAAGACACGTGTATGCAGATGTACCCAGAGTAATTTGGTAGATCCTCCGCTTCTTTAGGAAGTCTAACAAAGAGTTAACATTGATTATGGGCTAACTTGCTAAACCTGAACTATAACTTCGTTAAGTTTGTGTTGAAATTAAAATATATTTAAAAAAATCCTGCTATGGCACAGAACAGAGAGGCACTCCAACAAAGCTGTACTACGACCTGTATAAAGGAAGAGGGAGCCGTACCTCACGTGCGTATAAGCTCTCTTTCGGCCCGGTATATTATTTCTATTGTACCACAGGTTTGGTGCTCGATCCCTGCTTTCCAAACCCACGAGGCCCTCGTGAATTTTGGCTCGCACCACTGGTCTCCTCGGTGCTGGGTGCAGATGTGGTAAATAGACTTTCCGCCACTCGATTGTTCTTTTATGACTGCCACAGGATTCCTCTTTCAAATCTAGAAGATTATATAACGCATAATCGCCAATTTTGGTGCGGCGCGCTGTCACAAGAACCAACCTTTATCTGACGACACTACAAGAAACCACATATGCATTAGCACGTGGGTCTCCTTCATGGGATGGTAAGCGATATTGAATGAGCCGTCAAGTGCAGGTTGATCATAAATCCAATTGGGATAAGCACATCGTGTTTCTAATGATAACTCGAGGGCGGGGTTCTCAATTATCGTCCTGTTTTCCATTTGCGGCATTCCGCTAATTTGATCACATATAAAAGTCCTACAATCTCTACCAACCTGAAATTTATAAGGAAAAGCTATGGACAAATTGTCATCAAGCAAATCAACGCAAACTCGGTTCGAGTATGACGCAACGGCACGTCAAGGAAGGCTTCAAAAGCGTTCCATGGCAGAGATCTTTACAATTATTTGTGCTGGCTTTGCCATGATCTCGGACGGATACCAAAATAATGTGATGACCATGTTGAATACAGTGTTTGCTCAGCTTTACCCCGACGAGTATACTTCTGACATGAAAACCAATGTGTCAAATGCTTCTCTTGTCGGAACAATATTCGGGCAGGTTGTCATTGGAGTCTTGGCAGACAAACTCAACCGGAAACAGTCTATTGTGATTGCAACCGTTTTCTTGGTATTTGGCACCGTCCTCTGCGCGGCTGCACATGGTGTAACTGTCAATGGCATGTTTTGGATGTTGATCATTTTTAGAGGTGTTACTGGCTTTGGCATCGGTGCCGAGTATCCTTCTTGTTCCGTATCCACCAATGAAGCCGCAAATGAAGCAGTGAAAAGACGAGGCGGGGTATTTTGTTTGGTCACAAACTTGCCCCTCTCGTTTGGTGGACCTTTCGCCTTGAGTATTTTCTTGATTATTTATCAAATCACGGGGGGTGTTACCAACGGTCTCTGGAGGGCTCTTTTTGCTATAGGTGCATTCTGGCCACTTTCTGTTTTCTATTTCAGATACAAAATGGCCACTTCTGTTTTGTTTCGGAAGGCTGCAATAAGAAAGAATACCCCTTATTGGCTTGCTTTGAAATTCTACTGGAAGAGACTTTTTGGTACATGCGTGTGCTGGTTCCTTTACGATTTCGTGACTTTCCCAAACGGAATCTTCTCAGCTACAATTATCTCCTCCGTTTTGGATGGCCCGCAAAAGTCGGACCTTGAACGCGTGGCTGAATGGAATCTTCTACTCGGAACGATTGCGATACCAGGTATTTTTGTTGGCGCTTATCTTTGTGATATAATCGGAAGAAGAAACACTCTTGCCATAGGGTTCTCTGGTTATATTGTTTTCGGTCTCATCATTGGGTGCTCATTTGACAAGATTAAAGGTATCGTTCCCCTTTTCATCATCTTCTACGGGTTGATGATGTCTATGGGAAATTTGGGGCCAGGAAACATGATGGGCTTGACATCTTCCGAATCATTCGCGACGCCAATCAGAGGCACATGTTACGGTATTTCTGCTGCTATTGGAAAGGTGGGTGCTGTGGTTGGAACAAAAACTTTCACACCGATTCAAGACCGTTTGGGCGAAAATTGGACATTTATTATCGCTGCAATTTGTGGTCTCGCGGGTATAATTTGCGCCCTCCTTTTCATACCACAGCTCAAAGATGATGATCTCATGAGAGAAGATATCAGGTTCAAAAATTATCTTGTTGAACAAGGTTGGAATGGTACCTTCGGGTATGAAGAGGACCAAGTGAATACATTAAGTGATGTTTCGGATGGTGATGTCGAAATCGATGTGGAGGAGCAGAATTACGTTGACCAGAAGAAGCAATAGATTTTCATTATGTCAGATTTACAATTAAGCAATTTCCGTAATTATTCGTCGTCGTCCTCGGGAATGTCTCTATGAACTTCCTTGATGTCGCCGACCTCATAGCCCTCTTCAGTTTTTTGGACTAGCGCTGTCTCCAGCTTCGGTGGGACATTGTGCACAATGTCATTACCCTGTTTAAATAGAACAGGCCATCCAATCAAGCACGAAGTAAACACCAATCCAAATAAAAAATATGGCGATCTATGTTTCACAGTTTGTGAAAATGTGCCTCTAGGAAATGTGGGAGTACCTTTAGCACCGTTCATGATTGTTGGTGAAGCCGCTTTCGATCCAATAGCATTCGCAACAGTAGTTTGCTTGAGATGGACAGTGGGCTTTCTGGGTTTGTATTGTAAAAAGCGCTTGCCCAGCATCTTCATGGTTGACAGACTAAGCATTAACAATTATTCCATGGCGAATTTACTATATTTATAAGTATTGGAGCATGGCAAGTTAGAATGCATGTACTACGTCACCGTTGTTTTAGGTTGCTGCGAATTCGAACCTTTTATCGCCTTGACAGCAATCATCTCAGACATAGCCACGGCTCGGTTTATGTTGATTGCACAGGGTCTAGTATCACTTGATGACACACAGCATGGGGATACGGCAGCACTTTTATGAAAGACTCAGTGACTTAGATTATCATTAAGGTGGCAAATTAAGAATAGAACGATGATTTCATTAAACAAATATCAAAATAATACAAATTAGATTTCTCAAAAACCAGGTTCATATCAAACCTTCAAGGCTTCTTCATAAGATGGTGGAGGGCCGTAATACTCCGTTCTTCCCTTCTCATCGAAACCTGCGTCAGAATCACTGACATCAACACCGTTCTTGAGAGCTTTGTTTTTCTCAATCTCGGATAAACCCATGTTATCCTTAGGAATCCAAATATGTGGCTCCTCGTCAGTGACAACCGGGTCATCATAAGCAGTTCTCACGAAGTCAGGATTGTACTCAATGTAGTTGAGATAAGCAGCAGGCATTTCCTCGCGCACCAAGTCAAAGCTATTTTGCTTTGGCTTGAAAAATCTGGCAACTGCACCGCCAGATGCCTCCTTAGCTGAAGCCACTGGAGGCAAAGAGTCGAGTCTTTTCTCGCTAGCTGACTCCTTCTCGTTAGTTCCTGTACGAGTGTATGCGTCGGACTCGTCAGTCTTGGGATCTGCCAAAACCTGATCCAATGGAGAGCTCGAAAGACCCAATTGGTTTCCGCCTTCCCAGTAGTTCTGGCCCTCGGTCTTAATTTCCTTAAGACCCTGATCATACATAGGGTATTGGAATGTGCGGTCCCCTGACGCATATTTGATAGCTGACACTGGAACGATTTCAAGAAGTGGGAGGAATTTCCACTTAAACCATTGGTGACAAACGGCAGTCACTAGAATCCATACACCCTCCAAGGCAACGCAAGCCCAGTTCTTACTGAACACGAAAAGGGCCAAGATGAGTACTTCAGCAAGGTAGAGAGCAACAAAAAGTTGGAACAATGATGTTGCATAATTTCTACCCCTGGCGTCAGTTTGGGCGTGCTGAAGAACGTATGTGAGCGTGTAAAGGAATGCGAAGAAGATGAGGAAGAACGAGATGGCTGCGAAACCCACCACTAATGGCGCGATGACGGAGTATGTCAATGCGATTAAGCAAATAAGTTGGAAAGAGGGGTAAAGCACGGAGAAGTCTGGCTGACCCAAAGTAGTGTAACGCTTCCATTTAGCTCTGGGAGATTTATCCAAAATGCGACCCAATACTTTCGACAATGCTAAACCAACAACATTTGCTAACGCCTTGGATGAAAACACAAGACCGTACAAACACAAGTAGGAAAGGTAAAAGTTCGAAGACTTCGGAAGCTCGCTCGCCAAAAGTGACATTGCAGATTCTGGTTTTTGAATGATGCTTTGCACAGATGATGCTGCAGACGAACCGAGAGCGGCAGCCAAGAAAGTGTTGACGACTTGAAAGGCAAAGAACCAGTTTTGGCAGTAAGTGTTGACTTGTTGCACAGTGATGCATCCTGCAACTTTACCCATTTTCTTGATGAATGGTGGAATGAGGGACATCAAAATTGCCAATGCAACAACTGGAAGAAGCGATGTGATAATACCCATCAACGCAGATGGCATGTTATTTATGAAATCAAGCCATGGAAGCTTTTCAGTCAAAAAATTGATATTGGAGATAGCACCAACAACAGCAACAGGAATACACCAGAAGATGATGGTAAGAGTTAAGATAGTCGATGCCAAAATCTTCTTCAAACGACGCTTAGTCTTAGTAAGGGCAAGATTAGGCCAAATCACATCATCAGGAGCAATTCCTGTGAACCTTTTAGTGCCCTTGAAATCCGAATTGTAAGGAATTGCTTGGTAAGCTCTCTGCAATTCCAACTGTGAAGGGAACTCAATGAAGACAGAAGGAATTTGAGAGTTCGAATTGTGCTCAGCTTGTCCTTTCTTAATAGTCTTGTTTAATTCACCCAACTTGTCGACACTATAGTCGAGGGTGTCAACCTTCTCTCCGATAAGAAACTTTAAGCGATGAGTAGGACGTTTTTTGCCATCCTTCAAGTACTTGTTGAGGTCATCAGCGGGTTCGGGAAGCTCTTTGCCCTTCTTCTGAAGTTTGTTTCTAAGCGATACAGCCTTGCAAAGAACTCCGTTCAACGCTCCTTCATACTTCGCTGAAAGTTTCGTCCGCTCTTTGACTTGTTCCGAAAGCTCTTTATAGTCTCTAGCGTACCAAAGATTGGTTGCAGTTGGGAAATATCCTCTGAGCTCTGTTTCCAGTAATGCGGCCTCGGGGATTTCAGTAAGAAGCATCGTGCGAGAAGACAACAATGAGTCATACATTGGGGTGGTTTGCAAAGCATGTCTAAACGTTGTGTAGTAAACCAATTCACGGTAAATCACGAAGATGACTGCTCCAAAGAAAAGCCACGAGAGGAAAACGTGAGCGAAGTATCTGTCCTTGTTTCTCACATTACCAAAGGTCAACATATCCAACTGCTTTTTACCATTACCGTTTGTAATGTTGACTGGGAACAAAATAGGCCAAAGCAATATACAGCCAAGGAAACAAATGAAGGAAAACTCGAATAAAAACCTGAGGAAGAAATAGCCATCGGCCCCCAACTGCTGAACAAGGTAAGGGGTAGGTTTACTGACCAAATGTGTGGCCCAAGCAAACATGCCCTTTGGACTTTCATCTGGTTTCAAATCCTTCGAAACAGTTTCAACACTCCGCCTGGGTTCGTAAACTCTCTTCTCTGATTTACGAAGAGCCAAAAAAATCAACGTGAAAATAACACTAATAACCAATGTTGGAATCAAAGTAGACAACAATTGGGAGGCAGACGCGCTGGTCTCACCAGAGCTGGAGTCGGCCATGTTTGATCGTAGGGTTAAAAGGCCAGGGTGGATTTCTGAGGATATATATACGTAGATTCAAATTCGGCAGCAAGCATCAAAACAAAGAACGTTCGCTGCGTAATGCGGGTCACGAGCGAAGAGGCTGACGACGTAATGCAGGCGGGTCGGCATGTGAACTTTGCGAATTTCACTCACTCATGGCTTTGCCCGATCAATACTTCTACGTTCCAAACTCAGAAAAGTGATTTGCTTTATTGAATGCTCTAATGATAGAATCAAATTTTTACCACCTTGTCTTCATGAAGTCCGCATACTTGCGGTCGCCGGAGAAGGATGAGGCTGTACACATTCCGCTGGTTTGCGCGACTGGCATGAAGCAACAAGCTCAGCCGCACTGAAAGCAGGACACATGATCCATCCCGAATACATTTAAAAACATTCGGGTGTTCATGCTTATGGTCCTTTCCGTTGTTATAGTGAAATTCTCCATCAATTAAATTTGACCCTGTGAAGTTGAAGTATATCGTCAAGATGGATAGCTTGCGCATAAATGGCGCTGCTGTTCCGAGATGAGGACGTCAATCTTTTTATGTGAAGGCGCTTGAGTTGCAGTGGCAACCTTGTGTCATCTTGCGAAGCTTAGGCGCGTACTCGTGGCTGTCATACGGGAGGGTGGTGTAGGTCGTACATACACAGTAATCAGCTACGTTTTCGACTCTGCCTAAATGGTCCCAAAACTTGGATTAGAATTGAAAGTTTGAGGCTCCCCAAAACCTATCACCGAAAATTCAAAGGTTAATGTTGTGTATGTGCCACGTTTGCTCGTACCTGGCCCTCTTGTGTTCTCGAATTGGAAGGCTCGGTTTCATGGGTTGCATCTCTATTGTTCACATCAGTTCCTTCACCATCAAGTCTCCCGCGAGCTTGTTGGGAGGGTTCATCTTCTATTGATCCTCGAAGAGAATTCGAAATTGGGACGCCGTCCATCCCACTTCCGGTTCTGGTATGGCTAGGAGGTGGTATAGTAGGATCCTTTGCGTTGGGATTTGGATGAAAAACTCCTTGATTATCGTAGTATCCCATGTCGTATTCGCCAGCGTGCTCTGTGTACGTCGGCACGTACACATTTGGCATATCAGGCTCACGTCGAGTCGGCTGGTTGTATTGATCTTGCGATTGGTAATATGAAGGGGGTGTCATCCATCGTGTACCATAAATTGGTTGTATTCCTTGTCTTGATCTTGCTCTATTTATTCGTAAGGTACCTAATATCACAATTATTATGAGAACAATAAAGATTGCAAAGAACGCCCACCTAGCACCTCCTGACCAATTCCCACTGTTGTAGAAATCATCTCTCGCCTGCAACTTTGGAACGGTCATGTCTATTCAAGAGGCTGATTTGTCGTTCGCCTTCGCAAGTTGTGTGAACGGAAGATGAAGGAATATGGTGACCGCGGCAAGCCAGCATTTTCTTAGAGACAGCCAATTGAAGTCACAAAGTACAGAACAGAAAACAAATTTAAAGTTTCTTTAATAAAACACTTGAAAATTGGATATATAGTAAAAATCCCTTTTATTTCATTATATTGAGAACAACAACAGGATGAACTACAATTTGAACATTCGCTTTCCTTCCTATAAGATATGATTTCGCCACACATTTGGTAATTTGCAAAAAACGTGAACTATAGAACATGAGTGACAAATAGATACTTCGATAAATAATTATATTTCAACCTTTTAATCAAGCAGTTTCAAGACAACATTACCTTTATTAAAAAATCTGGGGATAACTTGATATCTGATTATCTTTTTCTAGGGGGACCCGAGTATCGATTGACCAAAGAGCCATGCTGGCTCCATAAGGGCGCGGATGATGGTAAGGGAGATCGACTGTTTGGCAGGAAAATTCGAAACAGACATTTACAAAGGACCGCAAAAATGTCCGTGGGATACGACATTGAATTTACGTGAGGCCTCATTCCCCTCAACATGAGGTTCCCTCCAGATCAATTCCTCTATCCTACTAAACAAATACTGACAAACACGGGACATGCAGCCTGATCCACGTATGGCTCATTCGCCACTACATGAGCAATGGGATATGCTTGCGCAAAGCATGAGGAAAACTTCGAATTTACTTCATATCCCACTACGCTCTCACAAGAGATCGAGAAGTAAGGGCACAAATCTTGCATCAGGCGGCATTGTGGACATATCTGAAAGCCATGGAGAAAGCCGGAAATTCGTCACGCATATCTTGGCTATGAAACTCTTGCTCAAAAATCATCTCGAAAGGAAGGTAGTGAGTATGAGAGAGCTATTTTACAGAGACGTGTCATCCTTTCGAAATCGACAAAGCGTTTTAAAAGAAGCGGTCGTGAACGTGGCCTCGATGCATGATATGTCTATCAGCGAGGATTTTGGAGTCTATCCCTCTTCTAAGGGCCTTGTCTACGGAGGGCCTAGCATACAGTTGCATGATAAGAGGGACTACAAAATCTTCCATCTTGATTATTGCTACCGCGAGCAGCTTATCCCATACATGTCAGGGAATCTTCATGTTGACAACGAGCCCTCAACCGTTGTGCTATTTGAGAAAGATTCTGTCTTTAAATCTTATTGTGATCACTTCAAGCGCTACAAAGTTGACAAAAATAGGTCATATCTTTTCATGACTGCGAAAGGTTTCCCAGATGATGCTTCAATAAGGTTCCTCTATAGTATCGCTCAATCATGCAAAGAATTGGCTATTCATGCTTTCATGGACTCTGATGTTTACGGAATCTGTATATTTTGGACCTATAGAAGGGCCTTGAGGCAATTTGCAGATAGAATCCACTTCAAGGGCGTGTATCTTCTAGACTATCAATCAGGCTGGGTAACTGTGAATCGACGTGATTTGAGCTTAACCATTTCACTTTTGAAAAGGGTTTCTTTTGAGCAACCAGCGCTCTCTACTAAACAGGTTGATACATTGATGAGAATTAAACAGGAACTAACTCGAGGTTTACTCTTGTTTAAGAAAGCAGAGATGAATGCCATAGGTACTGATTCTGCAGACGACCACGACCTTTTGAGCTATGTGGATTCTAAAATGGGGTTAGCCTGATTCATGTGGCTTGAATCTTTTCAATTCATTCGCAGAAAGTGTTGATGAGACTAAATAAATTAAGAAATTGCACAGAGTTAAGTGGCATTCTGATTGCCTGGTGACGACAGAGTTCAAGCTACACTGGACCAGTACACCAGACTATGAAATTTATGCGATCTCGCGTGATTCACAATGTACAGTACTTTAGTCGAAAATTGTTGAGATTTCAATACCCTCTCAATCCACCCCTTTCATTAGCAATGTCATACTCCACTCGTCAAATCGGCGCAGCCAACACTTTGGACTACAAGGTTTACATCGAGAAAGATGGTAAACCGATCTCTGCGTTCCACGATGTGCCTTTGTATGCCAATAAGGAGAAGACTGTTTTGAACATGATTGTTGAAGTGCCACGTTGGACCAACGCCAAATTGGAGATTTCCAAGGAAGAGTCCTTAAACCCAATTATTCAAGACACGAAGAAAGGAAAATTGAGATTTGTGCGTAATTGCTTCCCCCACCATGGCTACATTCACAACTATGGTGCATTTCCACAGACATGGGAAGATCCACATCAGACCCACCCTGAGACTAAAGCCAAGGGCGACAACGATCCTTTGGATGTTTGTGAAATTGGAGAACAAGTTGCAACCGTCGGTCAAATCAAACAAGTTAAGGTCTTAGGTGTCATGGCATTGTTGGATGAAGGTGAGACTGATTGGAAAGTTATTGTAATTGATATCAATGACCCATTGGCTCCCAAATTGAATGACATTGAGGATGTTGAGACTCATTTGCCAGGCTTATTGAGAGCAACGAACGAATGGTTCAGGATTTATAAAATCCCAGATGGAAAGCCTGAAAATCAATTCGCATTCTCTGGTGAGTGCAAGAACAAGAAGTATGCGAACGAGGTGATTGTCGAATGTGCTGAAGCCTGGGAAAGATTGGTCAAGGGTGCGTCAGATGCCGGCGAGATCAGCTTGACAAACACCACTTTGTCTTCATTGCCTAACTTTGTTGAAGCTAGTAATGTTCCTTCTGCCTCGCCTCAGCCACCTGCCCCTGTTGACAAGTCCATCGACAAGTGGTTCTTCATCTCTGGTGCTCATTGATTTTTTAATGCAGGCACATCCTTTGTTGTAAAATGGATAACATTTTTCGCGATCGCATGTAGATAATGTAGTGAGATTACATTTCGTCTAAGGCTCGGTTCTGTAATCACTGGCTGTATGAGAAGCAGACTGAGTGTCAATGGATATTCACAAGCAATTTCCTGAAGTCGTTTCTCATCTCGGATCTACTGCCTTTTCTCACTTTGATCTTTCTGCCACAACAACTGTCGACCTCCTCATTGAGGTCCTCGAGAATGATCTGAGAGACAACTTACCCAACTTTCAGCAAGTTACTGAAGGTCTTGCTGAGGCCGCGCAGGCCGCTATAGATGGCAAGATAATTCATGGTTTTCCCGAAGTCACTTCCTCGGGACTACCAGAGATGGACACGCTCATGGACGGCGGGTACACTCACGGTCAAGTGAGCGAAATTTTTGGTGTCAGTGGAAGTGGAAAGTCTCACATTGTGGGTTCCACTCTTCTTGCAGCTCACAATGATGTAGAGCAACAAACAAGCCGAGGAGAATCTGTGGTGATATGCACAGAGAGAGCATTGGAGACTCGCAGGTTAATTCATATGAGTGGTAGGTTTGCTAACAAGCAAACTTTACAGGACATATCTACTATTTATTGCTCCGATATTGATTCCTTTGATCATATCATCTTCACACAATTACCAGCATTTCTCGATCAAGCAGTAATCGAGGAACGAAATATCAGGATGATAGTCATAGATAGCATTGGGCACCACTTGCGCGGTACGGAAGATTTTCGAAGCATTTGCTATCACCTTCAGAAACGCCTTGATAACCAAAGAACTGTGATACCCCATAGAATGAACAGCCCGATATTTGACCACGTTAAGAACAAATTCTACAAACAGAGTCTGTCATATAAAAATCGCTCGATGAAAGCTTACTATCTAATGGCCATACACGCAGAGTTGGCAAAACTAGCTCGCAAATTCCTGATTCCTATAATCATAACGAATCAAGTGTCAGATTTTTTCGAGAATGAAACTGATCCTGCCCCAGCTCGCCCACACGAAAACCCACTCGACTTCCTGAGACAAATTGGGTTTTATTCGGGATGGAGCCTTCCAACGTTAGGATTCCGATCTAGTTGCAGTCACGCTTTTGATACAGAGAGGCACCAGCTAGCTGATGGCGCCGCACATGAGAGCTCTCAATCGCGGTGCGCTGTTCGAGAAGAGTTCTCTAACTCAGTGGCATGTCTTGGCATTGTCTGGTCAAGGCTCGCGACATCAAGGATAAGATTACTGAGATGCTGCGGGAATAACTCCGAAACCATTAGTCACAGATCATCGCTAGCCCGACCTTTGCTGTACAGTGTTGCACATAATTACTCCAACTCAAAACCTGTAAGTTTTGAGATTCGATCCGAGGGCATTGTAAAGACCAGCCATGGGTTTTAAACCAGATTTTCTAGATTATGAATCCTGAAATGAAAGTACACATTCCCAGCTTTTATTCAGGCTAATGAAATAGAAGTTTTTCAACCTACTGGTAAGCTTAGTCTTCTATGTCAAAACAATTAGCGATATTGCGAGATAAAACACCTGTACCTCAATATCACTCTCCATCCAGGGAGAAAGTATTGAACCACTCGACAAACATGAAAGTCAGTATCAGTCAGATTCTTTGTTAGATTCGCATACTAATACCAGTTTATTGATGAAGTGGACTTGGAGTTAGTCAATCAGGAGCTCAACTTCAGCTCGTTGGATGAGAATTTGGTCATTAGAGGAGGCTGTGACTTGTTTACCACCAAGCCTATTGGTTCGGATAGAAAATTGTTCAAGACGATCGAAAGACATCTAGACCAAATTCTTGAAGACAATCAACTCTCCAGATCAATTGATAAGGAACGCAAACAGTCAGTTAGCTCAATTTTGGGCAGCTCTAGCTCTCCATTAAACACCGCTAATCATCAAATGATGGGGTTTACGAGAAGAGGATCCGGCGCCTCATCAATTACCTCTGATATCGAGATCTCTGAACCGGGGACCAGTTTTGGAAATGTGGTTAATTCAGAACAAACGGGCGTCTCATTTCATGACGAGTCACCGTTCGGGTCACTAAAAGATATCTCAAGTCGTAAGGTTTTTGCCTACTTGATTGCAATACTCAATACCACATATCCTGATCATGACTTTTCAAATTTGCAACCAACCACAGAAAACTTTCATAAACTTGATTTCACAGAGGATTTGAGACATCAATTCAACAATATAATGATGTCTTTGGGGAAAAAAGAAGACACCCTTGCTTGGATTTGGGACACCTTAAATGTGTATATGGAGATACAACCGAACAATCTATCAACCAACGGGGAATATTCGCAGTCACGCAGGAAAAGCTCTTCAAACTCAATATCGGCGCCAATTACTGAAGGCATCTATGACAGCGACTATTACCTCAAAGTTTATGAGTTTCAGCCATCCGATCAATCGATTTTAGAAGACTTGAACTACCCCTATCAAACTATGTGGTCAAACTACTGGTTCATTTATAACAAGAAAAGGAAACGAGTTTGTTTTCTTTATCTTACTGCTATTAACAAGCTGCACTACTCAGAAATGAATCGCAGTAGGAGCCCCTTTGACTTAGACTCTAAGGAACCTCTGGAGCCTCAACGGTCTTTACGATCCTTCGACGATGACGACTTCATGGGAGAGGGAAATGGCGACGACGAAGTCCAATATGACGATCTAAATCGGGACATAATCGGTGGGATGGAGATGTGATGAACCACTTCACATTTGCGGCATAGAGTAAAATTTGAACGACAATACATTCACGGCTTAGTCCAACTGCAAAAGACCTCTTTAAGGAGAACTTAAAAACTAGCTGCATGAGCAATTTACTGTAAGGGCACGAAGCCCCAAAAATGTAGAGAAACGGAAACTGGGCAAACGAGGAACCGAACATTCCTAAGAGCTGCAAAGACAAATCATATTAGGGATAACCAGTCAGCTTTAGAATAGCAGTATGGCCCACTTTGATGATTTCATATGTGCAATTTGAGACTAAGAAACTCACCAATTTGGCCCTTCAACTCAAAACAAACATCCACACTTGAAAACTTATATCTACTCAGACCCGTAACTACTCTAATATGTTGTACGAATCAAATTGTACAGCTAATGGATCGCTCTAATACTATACAACTTGGCTCTCTTACAACCTATGTTCTTCTACAATACCTTTGAACACAATTTGTGCGATCTTCTCTTAATCTCTCCAATGGACAACATAAAATTCATTTGCAGTCGGTCCCGGTCAAAATATCTGACCAACCAATATGGTTAGTGTAATTAGAGGTGAATCGACAAACGCATTAGTAGACGTGTCTCGCCACAGTAATCTAGACTTACTAACGTCAGCTTGCTGAACACTGTTCATAAAAAATGAATCTAACCAGAGAGTTCTACCCAGACACCCAACATAACGTAATTGTATCTTTATATGTCACAAGAAAGAACCTAACATGAAGCTTGCTTCGATGACAAATCAAATGAAGAAAAGAATTTTCAGGTCCTAATAATGTCGCTTCTAACATGGTTCCAAATCGATCTATTGGAAAGTATTTACTCATGGGAGCAACCAAAGCCTGCATTATTTGTCCGAAAAGAAGAGTAAGATGCATATCAGGATTATAACATTCAATACAAAATCTTCATTTCACACATCCTCTTGGGCGTTTATGAACGCCAGAAGTAGGATGTTTTCAGAGGGATTTTGTCGAGGGCAAACTAGACCGCATAGTTATAAATCGGAATGAAAGGCGTAAGCATCTTCTAAACGTCCAAGGTTGATAGTCTTATGTTATTTCATTCGAGTTAATTTTATGACCTAATTAATCCTACCATGAAGGAAATAAGCTAGTTATTCACTGATCCTTTGATCTTTGTATTTATAAATGCTAAATACAGAATTTTGTGCGTTGTACTTGATGACTATGAAGGAACTAATTGTTGATGCTCCGATCCCTTAGGTTATTACGTATCTCAAATTCTTTATCATGGACTTCAGTCTGCTTTTCGTGTCATCATTGAATTCTTATCTTGTTCAAAAGCCATCGTTGCGAACTTATCGAGTCATCAGCCTCATTGTTTCATTAATGTTTGAAGTTGATAAGTTCGTGGGTCACGAATCGTTGTGTATCTCAGATGTTCAGTCATTTGATTAAAAGTCGTGAGAGGTTTATGCGTTTACAAGATTCATCATCAGAAGCTCTATTTCACTTGCCTCTATTACACACCAATGTCTTGGAGTAGATGATAAGAAGCAGAATGAGCCTGCTTTTTCTTTAAAGTCGGTAGTAAGATCGCATGGCGTGTGTTCTTGTTTTTGCTTAGAAGATGTTGAGAGTTTTTGGGTTAATTTTCGATAATGGTCATCACCGACTTTACAATCTATTAAAGCATAAAGCACCAGATTATTCCAGGTTGTATAAGAGTAACATGAATTCAATAAGTGGAGAACTTATCGTTGTTTTTCATCCACTTGAACTGAAAAACGAGTTTGTCGTTACACTCTTCTATGAGATGCAAGTTGCGGGAAGTTGTACTCAATTGTAGAAAGTGTATATTGATTTGTGAAACGCTACGTGTGTGGAGTGTTGAATTAACGACCCCCTATAGAATTTGCGCAAGTGTGAGTTGGATCATGCAGTTAAACCAGCAGGAGTACTCTTTTACTTCGAGCGCTTATTTTTATTTTTTAGCCTGAGAGTGTTGCTGGAAATTGTGTTCTGTGTGTTGTTAAGAAATGGCGTGTATATAGTACTGGAATTTGTTATCTTAAATGTATCAGTAGGATCCATTGTACCGAAACATGCGATTTCATAAATCGGGCAAGAGCTTGTGCAATTTGAAGTTTTGCGGACTAGCATTTATAGGGGGTTGTGCTGCTTCCTACAATGAGTCGGTGTTGGAATTATACTCATTGTATACTTCGATGAAGCACTCGTCAGTCAGTCCGGTGCGGTTAGAATATGAAAGCAAACAAATCCCAATATACGAGAAATCTTCAAGAAATGGATTAACCCAACTTCGCTCATGGGAAAATTTGGATAGGAACGTGGCAAGAGATCTAAGAGTGCCCGATAAAGCAAACGAAGATGGTAGAAGATCAGAGCTGCCATCGCTTACCAACACCACGCTAGCTAAGGCGGGTGGTATTGCAGTCGAACCAACAATATTCCATGATAACAAGAAAGGCTCAACGATCACGATTGTTCATGTTGGGGATCAGCTTTGTGGGTACCCATTTTTGGTTCATGGAGGAATGATAGCGACTATCTTGAACGAAAGTTTCAAACGAAACGCCAGCTTGAATTCAGACTCAAATCCCTTAAAAGATGACTTTATGGTTACTTCCTTGAGCATATCATATAAAGCTCCTTCGCTAGCTAATCAATTTTTGGTTGTCAATACTCGATGCGTCGGTCAAGACTGTAAGTCGATCATTTCAGAGTCATCAATTGAGACGGTCGATGGGAAAGTTCTCGTTGTGGGAAAAGCTAATCTTGTTGAGACAGGAAGAGCTTCAAATATGAATGTTCAGTCGAAATCACGAACATGGACCTTACTCTGAGTCACGTGCGTGATGAGGCAGGTCTTGTGAGTTTTCTTCGATCGTGAAATTTCGGTTTAAGAATAAGAATGGATTCGTCAGTTGTACCACATGAGCGGGCTGTGATGGACGCTGTGATTGCTTTGTGGAGATCTAGCCCATCATCAGAAAACTATTCACTCAAAAAGTTGCATGAAGCAGTCAAAGATAGGAATAATGATTGGTCCTTATCCGAGAAGAGGATGAAGTCAATTCTCAAGAAATTCAATCTACTTCCGAACCCAACGCCAGAGTCGCTTGTATATGCGAATGAAATTACATCGAAAGAATCCCCGGCATTCAACTTGCCGGAGAAAGTCAAACTCGTCATGACGAGTAAGAGGGGTAAGGGCCTTTTCGCCAAAGCTAATATCAAGAAAGGTGAAACTCTTTGGAAAGAGTGGCCCCTTTTTCTGGTACCGCCTCTTGCACACTTAGACCTTATAAAAAGAGGCAATGCTTGCACATTCTGCGGACAGCTTGTAAGAAGGCTGCGAACCGGGATATCTGTATTATCGGGGGAAGACTGCAAAATGTGTCCTGAAGTATGGTGTTCGAAAGTTTGCAAATCCAAGAACCAGAAGCTACACGGCATGACAAAGCATGAAAATGCACGGACAGCCTTGAAGGTAAACCCCCAGGCGTACAGTGCAGTTCTAGATTATGCTGTAAAAGAGCAATGGAATGCTCTTTATGCAATCACGTTGATTACAGCAAGCATCATTGCAGATGAATCCGGGGTTCAGCAGCAACAGTTCGAGGCATTGGCGAGTGTTTCGCAAAGAGTCCGTTCCAGAATTGCATCATCATCAGGGTCGGCCACGAATTCCTCGTTTTTGAAAAGTCAGCATGAGCAACTTTGGGAAGAGGGATATGATCTTTACAAGAATGTGTTTCCTTCCATGTCCCAGGAACCAACTTGTACACTCGAAAGTTTCCTCGTCAAGCTTGGAGCCTACAACATCAACAATCTAGATTCTTCAATTTTCTTAATCCAGTCGCATTTGAATCATAACTGTGAGCCAAATGTTGAGGTTATCACCGGAGAGATCAGGAGAGACACTGCTATAGAGGTTGTTGCAAGTCGGTCGATTTCTTCGGGGGAGGAAATTACAACTACTTACGTAAACCCACTGCACTCATTCGCTGTCAGGCAAAATGAGTTACGCATCAACTGGGGGTTTCTATGTAAATGTAAACGTTGCAAGAATGAGCTGGTAAACCAGCATGACAATTCGCCCCCGTCCACAGTGCAAGAAACCAAATCCGTCCATTTCGAAAGCTAGATTCGTGTATAGAAAATTATCGCGCCAGAATTCACACCTCGCTTCAAGGCGGCACAGGTATGACGGGCACTTCAGCAAAGCAATCGCTTCGAAAACTTGTCAATCAAAATGTCCGTAAATTGTCACCAGAGTCTGTGTCAAAACAGTCCAGCGAAATATTTCGAAAACTTGCGCTAAATGATCGGTTTAAAAGAGCCGAAAGGGTAGCCCTTTACATGAATATGCCAGTGGGCGAAATATGTACACTTGATGTTATTGAACATTGCTTCTCGTTGGGAAAAAAGGTGTTTTTACCCAGATGTGATGGCCTGAATATGACATTCCTCCAACTTGATAACATGGCAGCTGTGCACAGCTTGCAGCCTAGAGGCAAGTACAGCCTACTTGAGCCCACTTCAGGCCTCGATGTTTTGCAATCTGGTAACCTCGACCTCATTTTGGTTCCTGGAGTGGCTTTCACCCAAGGCGGCAAACGGCTTGGGAGAGGCGCTGGCTATTACGATAAGTTCTTGAGCCAATATCTGAAAACTCATGGCTGCACACCATATCTTATAGGCTTGGCGTTTAAGCAGCAAATAGTTGATGATCTTCCTCAAGACGATCATGATTGGTGGCTTAATGAGGTGTTGGTTGGCAGCCCATTGTAGCATAGACGTATTTTTCAATCTTTATCAACTAAAAATCCAATCATACACTTCTCTAGTAGTCTATCAGGGTTCACCCAGCTGTGATACTTGTTAAACAAGAAAGTGCCATCTGTCCCTGCGCATTTCATGATCTCCTTCTCTCCCCCGGGATGAAAATCGATATACGGCGTCAAATTAAAGACTTTACCATTAATCGAAGTCCAGCAGTCAGATTTTTTTTTATGGACCCGGAGTTCTGACTTTGTGATCTTCACAAGAGGCGGCGGTGGCGTGTTTAATGGAACTCCCCGTAGCTCCTGAATCGATGCCAGGCCAGTTAAGTTGGCCCAATCAAGCGGTGAATGGCCTGGGGCGAGAGCCACTTTTTTTCGAGAAATTTGGCGGTTTGGGAGACCAAGTGATGTTGAGATTTTTGGGGGCTCTGGATTTCTATGGGAATTTGGGTACATCGCTAGTGTATTATCTAGATGAGATTGGTAACTTAGCGCGCCTCTATACTTCTATTTGTTTTCTATCTGCTCGCTCATAATATAGCATGTAGACACTCGCAGTTTCCAAAAGCACTGAAGACTTAGAGACTTCTGCGACTTGGGAGTCGCCCACTTTCCAGAAGGGATGCTTGATGAGCGATGGAATTTTTTTCATTTTCATTCTTGAGTTATTCATGCTGTCATTGGAAAGCTTCACTTTGCTTAATTGCTCATCTAATTCAGCGACAGAGGCACCCAGGAAGTAATCACCCTGATCCACCAACACCTCCGCTGGGGTAGCTAGTCCTGAGTTAGCTATCTCTTGGAGATTAGCGCACTTTGGATCTGTTTGGGATATTGAGGGCCTGCGACCGATCAAACTTGAGAATTTGTTTCGAAAGGCGCCTGTGCTTTCTGTAAGAGCTGCCCTCTCGTGATTCACCTCTTCGTTGACCATATTTGCTGAATTTGATTTGAAAGATTGGGCTTCTTTTAAAACATCTTCATTTATCTCCGGTGAGATCTTTAAAATATTGCCAGCGCTGTCTCTCGCGAATAAAGGTTTCCGTTTATAGCACTCATAATGACCTTGGGTGTGCGAGCCCTGATGCTTAATCATGGCACGTAAGCGATATTTGTATACATTTTCATCGTCAAACTGAAACCTCCGAAAGTGGCCCTTCAAGCTTGCTGAATGACTTCCAGTCATGGTTTTATTGTTCAAAACTTCTGACCTTCCCTCGCTCAAACCTTTTGATGAGTTGTCAGTTTCCATTGAAGGAAAATCTGTACCTTCCGTGGAGACAGACGACGAGTCAGATGTGCTCAGGGAGTCTGTGGCCCTATCTGTATCACTATCATCTTCCTGTGTGTCAGTTTCGAATCCATGCTCGTCAATGTCTTCCTGCTGAACGCTTTCGTCTTCCATGTCGTCGCTGTCAGTTGTTAAAATGTTAGATTGACGAGGCTCAAACTTCTTCTCGGGGATGGCGTTGTTAAATTTTCGCAACTCCTCCACATACTCGTTCCCGATGGATAATGTCAACTTATCATTGAACGATACACGACAAGGATTGCGTGTCACACTTATGCCATTAAAAGCTGAACGGGACAAATGAATACCAAATACTTTAGGGGGTTTGAGAATCTGAGTTTTGCGAATGACAGTGGACGTTACAGAATTGGCATCTAGTTTGCCCTTCTTGTAATCTTTGATATAGTTCTCCAACGCAGGTGGGAGATCTTCGTTGATAAACAATTCCGGGTTCTTGTCAAGTTGCCGCAACAGCATCAAATGCTCATCGGGATCACTTTGATGGTCCTGCTCATCTGTCTCATTATGGAGTATCGCAGTGATGCGACATTTCAAGCAGTGATACCCCGCAATTTTCTCCATCTCGTTTTCATCTAAAAGAGTTTCTAAATCACTAGAAGCTGTTTGTGGAGGATGCAATGTCAACATAAGAAAGGGGCTGAAACTTGGCTTTGAGGAGTAGGAACACGATAAGCATCTCATTTGTGACAAAAGCAAGCCATTGAACGGGAAATCCGGGATCTCGATGGCTTCCAAATCTTCCTTGTTTGCAAACTTCAGTAACTCCAGGAGCAAATTTCTCAGCAATTTTGAGCAAACAAGGTTTTCTGTCTCTAATGTCTCGTTAATGAGCTGAGTTAACTCATGCGCGTCATGCTGGGATCTGGAGATCTTTGCATTATAAACTCTTTCTAGTTCGTGAAGGAAAGTCCAAACAGAAACTGTTCTTGTGCACATCTGAGTATCCTGAAGCTTTTTTGTTATCTTCGCTAGCGCAATATGCAACGTGATCAGAAACTGGTCTCTGATCGGGGCGTCTTCTTTTCCCATGTCGAATCTCTGGCGGCTTCCTTTCGACAGCAATACGGAACGAATTTCTTCCGCAGTGATCACTGAATCAAGAGAAAGATTGTACTTTTTTTCCATTTTGAACAAATTATCGTATGACCGTAAGAACGTATTGAGATAATCCGTGAGTCCCGGTAATGATGAATAAGCTTGCACTGAAGCATTTGCAAAGCAGTCATTTCTCAAATTGATGAGTCCAGTAGTATGTTTATCGGGTCGTTTTGAGAACATAACGGCTCAGGAACTTCTTTCAATTTGTGGTGGATTCAAGATAACAAAAAGTTGAATAAGGAAAAAAATACCTCAGATTTGGCGCATTACATATGGGTCGGAACTGCGCATCCAAAATACTGCGATAGCCTTTTGCCTAATAGTCCCAAGAATTACACATATGTAATGATCGGTGATATCTTCATTTTTCTGTGAAATTGTTATTGTGTAAAAAGTAATAAGACACCGCTATCATATGATACTGCCTCAACCTTGGTGCGTGGAGCGCCAATAATCGTTTCGAGCGGCCTGTGACGCCTGGTTCACTTCTTCACCATATAACAACTCTAGATTTAATGGTGTCTTAGGGCTTGGTTACCACCATTACCCGAACATACCTGTGGGCGCAGTCCTGAAGTACCTTCAACAGCGTGTCAAATTCATGTTTCTTGTATCTTCAGGCTAATTTTGCAAATGTGAGTGAGTTTCTTCGTGGTTTCCTACTTTGTCTTTTCAGGCCTTGATCAAACATAACTCTAACTTTCTTGAAGACTGTCCCTAAAGGTATGTCAACCACACCAATGTAGCGAAACAAAAAGGAAAGGTGAGGATTGTTTCAGCAATTTGATTAAGTAGCTTTTCACTTATAGAGTATTCATGATAAAATCTAGAAAAACGCCATTTCTTGAATACAATATAACTATGCGATATTTCACAACAAAATAAGAGATTTTGCATCCTTGAAGCATTTTTTTCATAATTGCACATACATGCAAAAAATCAAAAAAAAAAAAAAAAAAAGAAAAAAAAGGAGATGAAGCAAAGGAAGAGAATGAAACGGAGGGAGAATGCATGCAAGAGGGTTCATCCGAAGGCTGTGGAGGTTGAGTTGATGAAGGCAACACGATAATGGGCGTGCCCTACGTTATGGAGGTTAATGACTTCGCAGCATTCTTGAAACTACATTATTTTTTCACTACTCTCTAATGACTTCAAGCAAAGGCGAATTATGATACCAATCGTGATCGCTGAAAATCGCTGGAATGACTGATCCTTCAAATGAGACGATCATTTAAGAAAGGCCTTCAATTCTCAATGTAAGAGTACTCCGATCAGTGCGGGTTGCATTAATGAATGGGAGTTTTATGCACTACCATGATGCTTGGTAACACCTTAATCGCAATTTCTTAATTGCCCATCATACAACAATGAAGTTTTCACACTCAATCCAGTTCAACGCTGTCCCTGAGTGGTCATCAAAATACATCTCATACACTACTTTAAAAAAGTTAATCTATTCCCTACAACGTGAATCATTGCACCGCCTAAAAGGGGACAGTGAATCAGGGTACTTGATTTCTAACGACGCAACAAGCTCCAGTGAACCGATAGACGTTTTCAAAGCTGCGTTAGATAGTGAGCTCGATAAAATTGATCGCTTTTATCGAAAACAAGAGAGCTTCATTTTTCAAAATGTCGAAGATTTGCTAGAAGACATCGATGGGTTTCGGAACGAAATTGATGCTGTTTCATTGGGTGCTAAACTGACCCGCAGACGCCAGGCTTCCAGAGTGAGTGGCATGAGCGATTACCTTGATGGGGATATAGCTGAGGATAGTAATGTGACTGAGCAAGCAGCTTCGGGCCAAAACATTACCGGAATGAGTGACGATATCGACCCTGTCACCCTGTTGGTTGGTCGTAATAGGCCATCACTGATGAGCTCAGATCAACATCTAGGAGAGAATGCTTTGCAACGAAGAAAATCCTCTGTCGATGAGGCCTCCATGCCTGGCGTCAGTCGTGATGGAATGATCTCCGATTCCGCTCCAGAGGGCACGCATCTTCTTCATGCTTTTTCAGAAACAAGGATTCTTTTGCGTAAGAGAGTTATTGGACTCTATACCACTCTTTCAGAGCTCAAGAGCTTTATCGAGCTTAATCAAACAGGATTCAAAAAGGCACTCAAAAAATTCGACAAATCGTTGAATACATCTCTCAAAGATGAATATCTTCAAAAATTGCCTGAATGCTCCTACATATTTAGAGAGGCTACAATGGAGGGAGTAACAGAGAAACTCAATGCGTTAGTTAAGGTATACGCGTTGGTGTGCAATCATGGGGACGACTTGGACTTGGCAAGGTCTGAACTCTCTATACATCTCAGGGAACACGTCGTATGGGAAAGAAACACAGTTTGGAGGGATCTTATCGGTATTGAGCGCAAAAAACAGGCAGCAACAGCACAAGACAACAGCATGGCAATTGACGAGAAAGGAGGGACAGGGGTTTCGAACGCAGGTCTTACTTTTAAAAATAGAGCATTGATTAAGCTTGTGTTCATTTCCATGATCACCATCCTTCTCTTGACATTTTCTCCTTTCGGGGAGGTGGAACAAAAAAACTGCTTCGCTTTACTCGTCTGTGCTTCACTTTTGTGGGCAACTGAGGCCTTACCACTTTTTGTAACATCACTCCTCATCCCTTTGCTTATCGTGACTCTTGGCGTTTTGAAAAATGAAGATGACTCGAGGATGGAGACTGTCGATGCGTCTAAATACATTTTGTCCTCAATGTGGAATTCTGTGATCCTTTTACTCCTCGGGGGTTTCACCCTTGCGGCATCGCTCACCAAATACCATATTGCCAAATTGATATCTACATGGGTATTGTCAAAGGCGGGAACGAGTCCCTCAGTGGTGCTTTTTACGATTATGGCGATTGCACTTTTTGCATCCATGTGGGTATCGAATGTTGCAGCACCAGTTCTCTGCCTCTCGTTGATCCAACCACTATTAAGAACCTTACCAAAGGGCTCGAGCTTCATCAAAGCGCTTATACTAGGAATCGCTTTAGCGTCTAACATTGGTGGAATGGCCTCTCCAATTGCCTCTCCACAGAACATGATAGCCATTGGATCCATGGATCCGCAGCCTTCTTGGGGACAGTGGTTTGTTATTTCTTTACCGGTTTGCATTTTATCCCTTGCCTTGATCTGGGTTTTTTTACTCGTCACCTTCAATTGCAATTCTCACAACACTCACTTAGTTCCTATTAGAACTATAGATGAGAAGTTTCTGGGAGTTCAGTGGTATATTGTGATTGTATCAGCGCTGACAATCATTTTATGGTGCGTTGCATCACGCCTTGAAGGCATCTTTGGTGAGATGGGCATCATCGCCTTGATTCCGTTGATATTGTTTTTTGGGCCAGGTTTGTTGACTACTGAGGATTTTAATAACTACCCCTGGAACATTGTGATCCTCGCAATGGGTGGTACAGCATTGGGAAAAGCCGTTGCTTCTTCAGGTTTGCTCGAAACAATAGCAATTTCTATTCAACAAGAAGTCGAGGGATACTCCCTATTCGGGGTAGTTCTTGTGTTTGGTCTCTTGATATTAACGGTTGCTACGTTTGTGAGTCACACAGTCGCAGCTTTGATCGTAATTCCACTCGTTTCTGAGATTGGCAACAAGTTGGATGACCCCCACCCAAGGTTGCTCATCATGGCTAGTGCGTTGTTGTGCTCCGCTGCAATGGGTTTGCCAACGTCAGGTTTCCCGAATGTGACAGCAATCTGTATGACCGATGATCTAGGAAACCCTTATTTAAACGTCGGCACTTTTATAACTCGAGGCGTGCCCAGCTCGTTCATCACCTATGCAGTGGTGGTTACAGTAGGTTTCGCCACCATGAAGCTCATAGATTTTTGAATATCTACATAATCTTCAATTTGATATAAATTTAAGGGTCGGTCGCATTTGACACAACAACCTCTATCTCAAACTATCTTATCCGTTAGTGTCAGATGTAGCCGCCAATTGGAAACAGTGTGGAAGATACACATAAATCACAAACTTCAACCTCCTATTGCTATTGGCTGACCTTGCTTTAACATTTGTAATGCGTTATCATCTAAATCCCCAGACGCACCACAAATGTTACATTTTAGGCCCTTCCCGAAGTAAAATGGAATGATTGGGATGAAAAATAATGTCACCCAGTTGCTAGTGCGAACCGCAAATGCCGATTGATTATGACATCTACCACAATAACATGCTATATCCCCTCCTTCCTTGAGTGGTTTGTTACGTTCGTTGACTGAAACGTTAGTATGAGGTCGAGAATACGAATCAGCCAGCCGTGCAATAGTACACTTTAGCGCTCACACCTACTTACATCCGACAAGAAAGAAACAAAAGTCCATTTTGTGCTGAAAGGTATCCTCCGTTTAGCTGGGTTGCTCGAAAAACGCTCGAAGAAAAGGTCACATGTGGCTATGAGAGCCTACATATAGCCGAGTGTAGATGGCATTCTCCATTTCTGGCAAGTAGGAAATCAAATTTTTAGTAACAGCCCGAAGACTCATCTTTCTGATTAATGCCCAAGGTCTTGTTATCAAAACTTTGAAGATGTCGTGGGATATTTCGGGGCGTGGTTCCTCCCACACCGAATTCGCGCCAGCCAAACTTCCCATCGTAACAGTTTCTCAATTATAAGCGGACTCCAACATTTACAACATGGCATCTCTGAGCAACAAAAAAATAGCTAAATCAAATGCCGTGGCCTTAAAAGAGTTACATTGTTTATCATGCGTCATCAATGCAGTGGCTATCATATGCCACTTCCTCTTCAGCAGGCCAGTCTCTATCAAGCCTTACGTGTTTTTTTCAATCCCAGCAGCAATTAGTCAGTATCTCCTAGAAAGCTGGGGAAGAGCCTCGCAAATTGGAAACCCAAAGAGATCAGTGGATGATATCAAAGGACCAGGCCTTTACGAATACATGTTCGATTGTATTTATGTGACTTGGGCGTGTACATTACTCATGACCTTGACTGGCTCTAACAAAGCGTGGTTAGTGTATCTTTTCATCCCGGGCTTCGTGTTCTTTAAAATTTTTTCATTGCTGAAGGGCCTCTGGCTGTTTGGGAAATCAAAAGAAAGGACACCAAGCAAGAATGAGGTCAAAAACGAGGAGGGCAAGAAACCCAAGTCATCAAGAAGGAGGAGAGCCCAAAACCTGTGATGGTGCAGGAACGTCAGGAAGAGTTGAGAATGTATACAAGGCGCATGCCAAATAACTATTTCCTCGTTGGCATGATTCGAAAGCCAATTCCGGTGGGCTTCATTCGCAGATTCAGACACATGAGCTCTAAAGCCTTATATTTAAAGCGTTCCAGTGATACGACTGGACCTGTTGAAGATCTGATTATAGAAAAACTCCAGACACTTGATCCCACCAAGTTGATAATCAAGAATGATTCACACAAACATAGTCATCATCAGCCGATGCAAAATGCAACTAATGTAAAAGAGTCTCATTTTAAAATTCAGATTGTAAGTGACGAATTCATGAATAAAACGCTTCCTGCTAGGCATAGATTGGTATATTCGTTATTGAGCGAAGAGTTTAATGAGAAGGGCCTTCATGCCCTCCAGATGACAACTCGAACGACTGAAGAGGATGAGGCCCGAGAGATGAAGAAAGTTTAAGTATAATCAAATTCATATTTAAAACTCAACTGCTGATGAATCAATGTAGCTCGTCTTCGGCCGAGGTTATCGGTTCTTCCTGAACGGAGGCATTTTTGGCGACAAGCTCCACAATCCTTCTAATCACTGGAAGGCTTAACCATGCCGGAACATAAGCTTCCACACGAGAAAATGGTCGTAAGTTCACTGCCCGGAAAGGATCGTCAAAATGACCATCCGTCGCAACCACTTCGAATAAATCATCATTTGAACCGTCGCTTGACTTTACCTTATCGGCAACTGCCTGCAACACATCAGGTGCAATCGGTGTCTCATATTCCGCGACATAGTATTGAGATATCAACTTCTGGATTTGGATTGGCTTCAACGCGAAGCAGATTTCATAAATGATATCAATATCCTCTGGTGTGTTTTTTCTGAGTTGCAAGAGCTTGGCTGCTTGCAACAAGTGGTTGAGGTGAGACGAGCCTTCGTGAATATCGTGGCTCTTACACCACTCTTCAAGTCGTGTGACGTTATAATTCAATTGCAAACCACGCTTCCATGACAAAAAGTTTCTGCGCATAATCAAATCGTTGAAACACAAAGCATCCACAAAGCGCAAAAGCTCAATAATGACTGAATTCATGACTTCGCCCTCGATAAAGTATGACTTCATCGACCAGTAAACCGTGTTGAAAAAAGATAAGATGTCATCCATTTTATATTGCACACCTTGTGAAAATACCTTCGCCAAAAAGGGAGAGTTTTCGGGTGCCATGAACCCAGGAAGTGACTGAGAAATCACGACTGCAGAAACCGCCTTCTTCTCCAAATCTTTTTCCATCTTTTTCATCCACATATTATAGATGTTGTATGAAAGCGACTCAAAGTCCTCCTTTACGACTGCCACTAATTTCAAGTATTCATCGAACTCTTCTTCACTCATATCATGAGATAACGAATCGTTTGCGATGATGGTTTGTTGGGCGTATGAGACAAATGAATAAAGCTCATGGGTGTTGGAAAGCCAAAACGCACCGTTCGAGATAACCTCATCTTCTTTCAAAGTCGAAACAATCTGCTGGATTCCCGCCAATACTTCACCAAGGAATTCCTCACTTTCCCTTGTGAGGCCGAGTCTCCACATATCAGAAAGAATGATAATGATTATTCTCGCTGGAAACAAAACCTCTTTCCGCGTAAGATCCGCAGCAACGCCAGATGGTGGAATTTTAAGGCCTTTTAACAATCCTTCAACGATCTCGCGATGAAGTGGGCGCGTATCCCTTAAGAGTTTGAACAACTCATCGTTGATATCATCTGCATCCGCCGCATCATCATTAGAGACTGCAATCACAGAAACTGGTCTTTGCAGATCGAAATGGTGCTGAGAATTCCACGTGCCCGCACTACTATGCCTCTTGTTACCCATACTGCGTAATTTAGAAGATTGCACTTGACTTTGTTGCGATTGAAGGCTGGTGAGTTGTGCTTGCAATTGCTCAATATGAGACTTGAGATCAACTTCGATGGTATCCCGCTTCACGAGCGCGTTTCTCGCTTCATTGAGTTCCTCAATGTTACGTTTGACTTCCTGTCGAAGCTCTGCTTGTTCCTTAGTCAATTCCTCGATTCTGACCTCAGCCGTTTGGTACTCTTTTCTTATTGATTCAAGTTCAACATTCAACAATTCAGTTTCCTTCTTATACGCGTCATTTTGGGAATCAAACTTTTCGTTGAACTCAACCTCACGAGTTTTAAGGGCCTCAGTCGCTGAGCTTGATTGCGAAAGAAGCTCCTTAAGGCTGTCGATTTCTTCCATCAATGACTTGTTATCCTTTATTTTGGAAGTTAACGACTGTGTGAGCTCGATGACCTTATTCTCCAATTTATATGAGACTTCTTTCAAGTGATTAACGGATTTTGCATCCTCCCTCAAAGACAAGAGCTCACGGCGCGCCAACTTCCTTCTCATGTGTGATTGAAGGACAACGGCAGAATTCCGTTGTTGAACATACTCATCGCGAGAGCGACGGCACCTGAAAGCCTTTTGGAGAACAATCGCCGATTTCTCGAGTTTAACATCCCTGAAACTTTTTCTCGCCTGAAATCCTCTCAATGCGTTTTGCAACACCAAGATACTATCAAGTGCTGCCTTCAATCTTCTTCTGCAGAGGTGAGATCTGAGCAAGGTTTGAATTTTCACTGCAGCCTCATGCTCTCTCTCGCGTTGGACTCTCATTCTCGCACCATGCCCTCTGAGGAGGGACTGTAAGCTGACAAGGCTAGATCTGATATCGAGGTAAATCTTTCTTTGGTGAATACGCCTCAAGTTCTTCTGAATCATAACCGCCGAGCGATGAAGTTTTTCGGAACGCAACTTTTCGAAATGAGCAAGCATACCAGCCTTGAAAAAGATTTTCGTGTTACCCAATTGGAATTTCCCAGAGTCACTGATGTTTGACGATAGGATTTTGTTGCATAATCCCGAAACAGACTCTTGGGTAGTGTCGCCACTCATAACCTTAAGCCATTCCTCTGAGGGTACCAAAATGTGATATCTATCAGCAAATTCCACGAACGTCCATCTTGATGGGAAGCCCGCACAAGATATGCGAATAGTTTCTAGGACACCACAAGCTCTCAACTGAGATAAGACCATCAATGAATCAAATTCCCACGCACGCTTGTCTTCGTTTGGCTTGATGCAGCGAATATAGTGGACATTTGTGGAGTTAATGGTTTTCATCAATTCGATGAGGGAGTTTTTGAACATGGAGCCTAAAGTAGGCTTTTTCGAAGAAACACTTTTCTTGACGGATGCAGAGCTTTCCAACTTGGCGGCGTTTTTATCAATAATGGATAAGACATCAGAGAGAAGCTTGTTGGTAGTTTGCTTCAAAACATCAAGATGACCCTCGCCCACTGTGTCTCTATTTTTCTCAATGAAGCCTTCGATATCGTAAGTCACATCAAGAGCATAGTGACTAACTATGAATTTGGTCTGCCCGAAACGAGGTTTTTTGAAAACGGTATTAGTTGGCGGCTTATCAAGACTCTGATACATCTTTTCAACCCAGGATTCATCATTTCCAGCAGGTAACCTTGATTCCTCATCAAGTAATGCGAGCACACCAAGTTTATTCTCAATTAAATTGATGCATGGTTGGTTGTCCGAAAAGTCGATGAAAGACCACTCAATTTCCTCGCGAACATACTCTTCTTGCTCAAGTTTGAAGACATGTTGGTTGAACTCCTGCTGCAATTTTTCATTGGCATAGTTGATGCAAAATTGCTCAAAAGAGTTTTTCTCGAAGTGCTCGAATCCATAGATATCTAATACACCAATGAAAGACTTGATATTTTCACCAACATCTGGTGGACAGAGGTCGGTGTTGATATAGTCAATAAGCCAATCGAATAGGGCGGAATAGATGTATTTTGCAAATGAATCTCGTGCCACAATTGCCTGCTTGTGATTCAAACTGCTTGTGATTTTCTCTGATCTTGTCGTGATTTGCTTCTTGACACACCATTTGCTGAAAGCGGTAGCATCGATACCAAGTAATGAACACGCATTCACAACACTGGGTTCGTCAGATGAAAGAAAAGCATCATTACGAGTTGCTGCGATCTCGATATTACCAATGTGTAACATCGCGGCTAGAAGTTTGAAAATCTCAGCTTGCATTCCGTCATTGATTCCGATCAAGTTCAAGGAGTCTTTTGTAGTAGCGAAGTCTTGCCCATCTTCGACACCTGGAATTATTATTGCATCCCCTTGGTTTGTGTACTTGAAGTCTTCCGCACAGGTCAATTTGAGTTCACCTTTTTCCTCGTTGGTCATACCGGCAAGCATCTGGTAAAAGATGTGATAGTTACGTTCTCCCTTGGGTTGAAAAACTAATCTCGATCTCTCCAACAAGTAAGTTCTGATTCGGGCGCCAATAATTCTAGTCTCGGAGTCAAAAAGAATTTCCAAGTACTTTCCAAAACGCGAAGAGTTGTCGTTTCGCGTAGTCTTAGCATTTCCGAAGGCCTCTGTGATTGGATTTGTTGCTAAGATCTGCTTTTCCACATCTGACATATCTGACTTATGCTCAGTGCCAACTTTATTTTCAAGTTCGGACTCCTCTTCCACTGATGCAAAGTATCTCATGATATATTTTGCACTAACAGTTTTTCCAGCGCCCGACTCTCCACTGACAACAATCGTTTGGTTCTCTCCGTCCCTTTTCATGCAGCGGTAAGCATCTTCAGCTATGGCGAAAAGATGAGGCTCGAGTTCCCCTCTGGACTTGCCGGCATATGCTTGAACAATATCTTGAGAGTAAAGTTGGTCAACCTTTTGAAAGGGATTCGTTGCAATCAAGACTATTCCAGAATAGGTGTAAATGTTTAATTGAGAATACCGAACTTTGATGGCATGTAACACAGCTGGCTCGTTGAGGTAAGACAAAGAGGTCAAGTCTTCAGCAGCTTCTAAGATGGGAGGGTTTCTCAAGGGGGGTAACTCCGTGTTGTCTTCTGAAAGATTATCAGTTGTGACAGTATAGACTGTCTCATCACTCTCAGAAGCTAGTTTGAGTTCTGTTTTCCCACCGTTGTTGTTATTCGAAAGAACCTTTACTCCTATCCATCCTTGGTCTTTATCAGGATACCAACAGCGGCTAGAATGTTAGTAACGGAAATACATCGTCGAGCCTTTAATTAAGTTTAAATGTGAGATTCATTCGAATCCCATGCAAGGCGGAGAAATCTCAAAAAACATACGTTCCTATATCATAGGTTGACAGCATCCGAGAAGGCAGTGAGCTGGGATTGTAGCGTGAGGCAGTTATTTGGAGGAAAAACTCGAGAAAAACAATCAACTAACGGCTTCACCAGGATGAATGAGCGTATTGAAGAACAAGGCTTGCAGATACGAGCTGGCTTGGGTTTTTCTGAAAGTTCTCGTTCAAATCAAAGAAGGGGACACTTGTTGCAAGAAAGCTCGATCTCGAATTTACTTATTGTGTCTGAAACGACACAATATCTGATCCCAAGGTCGTCGACGCGATCAAAATCACGTGGCTTCATCTATTATATGCCGTAAATTATACGCGAAAACTCATACTGCAATGCTAAGCAGGAGCTATCTAAATACGCTAGAGTTTGGACTTGTCGACGAATTGTGGAGTGACTAACGGCTCATAGACATGACTGAATAGTTTGTCTTCCGGAAATACTCTATCGAGTGCTGATGTATCGATCATAGAGCTGTCTAACTCTTCAATCGAGCGCGCTCCAAGAAGCCTCATATTCATGATCATTTCGTCTTTCAAAATCTGGACGGCTTTGAAAACTCCATCGTCGCCATACGTAGACATTGCATAGAGGAATGGCCTGCCGAGGCCAACACCTTTAGCACCAAGTGCAATTGCTTTTAGTATGTCACTTCCCCTCCTAATTCCACCGTCGATGAAAATTTCCATCCTTTTGCTTAGATTGTTCTTCTTTAGAATGGGTTGGAGCTCAGCGAGGACTTCAATCGGTGGCTTCACCAGATCGAGTTGTCTTCCACCATGGTTCGATATGACTATTCCATCTACCTTGTGTTCAATGGCAAGAAGTGCGTCTTCAACCCGTTGAACGCCTTTCAAAATTATAGGCATTTTCGTGATAGAGCGGAACCAAGCAATATCATCCCAATTTAAGGATGTATCAATGAATGATGAGATTGCGCGAGCGGCGCCTTGCGTGCGGTCAGCATCTTCACCTTCGCCTTGAACATGACTCAAATCTTCAACGTTCTTCGACCTCATATCCTTTTCACGCCTTCCCAATTGCGGCGCATCAACAGTAATAAAAAGACCCTTGATTCCTCTAGACTCAGCATGTTGAACAATCCTTTTCGTCACTTCTCTGTCTGAATTGACATACAATTGAAACCATTGAGTCTGCTTCCCATCTGCTTGGTCAACAATTTCATCAAAGGAGCACGATGCCAATGTTGGTATCATTTGAATAACCCCTTGTCTAGACGCAGCACGAGTAAGGACCTTCTCTCCATCAGGATGACCAAGTTTACCAAGGGCAGTAGCCGTGATGTAGAATGGGACGGATGTTTGGCTTCCAAGCATTTCAGTCAGTAAGCTTATGTTTGTGACATCCATCAAAATCTTCGGCCGGAAAAGGATTCTCTGATACGCTAAATGGTTGTTGCGTAGGGCAATTTCATCGTCTGCACCAGATGAATAATAAGCCCAAGCAGTAAGCTCCATGGTATTTTTTGCAACATGCTCGAAATCATGCAAATTGTACATCTGACTCAAATCCGGCTTCATTTTCACCATCTTTCTTCTGTTGATTTCATGGGCTGTTGGGGGTTCATCATCGTCATCATCATCATAGACATCGATATCGTCTGAGGCATTCGTTTGGGAAACGTCATGATCTGAGGCCTCAAAAAGAGGAATTTTATCATCTTGCTCGTCATACTCAACATCAAATTCCTCGACAGTTTTGGAAGGTGCAAGTGCATTAGCGCCAGCTAGACTACCGCTCTGTTCCTCAGCAACCTTATTTTTGATCTTACCTGGAGGTTTGCTTTTGGGATCAACATCGCCTAGGTGAAGTTCTGGTGGGAGGTATTTCGTGAGAGTGTCGCTGGGATGAATTGGATCGAAGGCCTTTGTCGCATCTTTGCCAGCATACTTGAGTATGATACCTGATCCCCCTGGGTGCTCATCCAAGAAAGAGGTGACATCATAAGCTTTTCCATGAATGATAACCCAGCAATCATCCTTCTTGGAGTGTTTCGAAATTTCTTCATAAGTCAACATTTTTGGCTTCCTGATCTTTGATTAAGTTCAAAAGCAATCTAGTTAAAAACAATCTCGAGATCAAAACTGTCTATCTCCTATGTTACCGACTCTTTAATTCTTCTGACTTTCTCAATAGCAGAACTAGCAAAAAAGAATAGTACTATAGTCTATCAGAAAAGCAGACAAGATTGGGTGTGGGGGGTGGGGCGCCATTTATATATGCGCACTTTGGCCAATTGAATTTCTGAAGTAGGTCACCTTACATCCGATGTCTCCTATCAGTTGTGGAGAAGAGTAAGAACCCTGCAGGAGCCGCGAGGGGCGTGGATACTTAAAGTAGAAAAGCTGAGCAGTATAAGAAGCGAGGGGACACATTTAGGACAGGCTTGTAATTCTTGGACAAAAATAAGTATGACGTGAATGGTTCGTTCGTTATACTTGAACAACTTCTTTCTATCTTGAGAACGAACTTTTGCTACTGGGGGTCGAATTTAGAGGGAAAGCATTATACTTACAACTTGCTTTTTGTTCTTTTTTTCTTTTTTTCGTTTTCTTTACTTTATGTTTGTCCTCATTGAATAGTTACGCTGGACGTAAGCTTTCTTCATTGTATTGCCGTAGGCCAGAGAGGCGCATTTGAGCAAAACTGTACTGCACGACCCCGTGACAAAAATTCTCCCTAGCGATTATCTCGGTCGCAATGAAGAACATATTTAAGTTATCAAACCAAACCAATCTTTAGTTCTTTGCGAGAGAGATTACCGAAGGACGAAACAGTGGGTGACATTACCACCTTACCCAATCAACGCCAGTCTAAGATTACATCCCTTGTCAAGAACCTCTATTTTCATCAAGACAGGTTGCGAACTTCCAATACATTCAGTGCAAGGAAAAGAAAAAGAAACGCCATAAAAATAGGCAAAACTACTGAGGCCAATACCAGGAACAGTATTGCAGATCATTTGACAACGTCATTCCATCGAAATGGTTCTTCTCAACGGCGTTAAGTATGCCTGCGAACGGTGTATTCGGGGTCATAGGGTCAGCTCGTGTACCCACACAGATAAGCCTTTGACGATGATCAAACCAAAAGGTAGGCCAGCGTCACAGTGTCTGCATTGCCGAGAGCTGCGTAAGTTGAAGAATACCCATTCCTCATGCAGCTGTGGCAAGAAGGGCAAATCACCGGGGCAGCATTTGGCATCATGTCTATGCCACAAAAACTCACATTGCACTTGTCCATCGAAGGAAAAAAAAGAGGTAAAAGGGAGACACAGAACAACAGATCCAAGTCAGTTTCCTGGTAGATTTATCAAAGAAGAACCAGCCGAGCCTTTACTTACTACAAAAGAAGATCAAGAATTATTGATAGAGGATGTTTTGATACCGTTCGATACTGACCAAGGTCTCCTTGACTATTTTCAAGACGGTGAGAAACTCACTTCGCGAGCCAATCAATCCAATGATCACCATGAAAAAACCTCACTGGACACGAATGGAAGGAATACTTATACACTCGATCAGTTGCCGAATCCTCCTTCCGACGCAGACTTGGATCTCATGGAGAACATGTTCCCTCTATTTCCTTTAGTAGGTGCTAATTCTTTTGATGACAGTCGATCATTACCACTCCTGCCGATGCCAAATCTCAATAATGGCGCAACACAATATGGGTCTGATACACATGAAGAAAGAACAAATGGACAAAGACATACTCTTTATTCAGATAGTACGCACCAAAGCAGCAGTGATGGGCCTACATTTCCGACAAAGTTTGATAACATCCCACTTAATGGAGGAAACGGAACTGCTTCAGGCTCTACTCACAATCCTAGACCACTTAAAGCTTCAATATCGTTCAATAGTGGATCACAGCATCCAGCACCGCGGCCTAAACGTCCTGAAAGTGTTCTATCAATCGCATCAACATCATCCAACACAAGCAAACAAAACTTGCTTGAGCTGGCGAGCCATTTCTCTCAAGGACTCCCTAAACTGTCGAGCTCTGCAGCATTCCCTCCATATCATCATTTTGATGTCGGCTCTAACGATGATCTACTGAGGAATTTTTTTGAGAATTCTCATGTTTTCAATGAGAGTACTCTGCTTCCGCTCACAAGTGACAACGAAGATGTCGCCGTCAATCCACGAACTTTCAGTGTTAGTGCGACACCGCAATCCTCACTACCATCGCGTCAGCCACTGCAACTGCGTCGGAAGCCTTCAGTTTCCCGCTCGCATTCTCAATTACATCAGCATCACGGTTCGGCCGGCAAAGATAACACGTTGACTCCACTCAAGTCAGCAACATCGATAGATACTACAAATTCCCCCTTCGAGTCGGTTACATTTAATAATTTTGATTCTGGGAAGGACATCGACTATTCGAATTTCATATCAAATCAAGAATGGCCTGGACAAAATGACCTTTCCAATCAATTTATTGCACAAAAAGCGCAACAACTGCAGAATGATTCATTCTGATATCGTTGGCAAATAGATCATTCAATTAAATAGCATTCTTCTGATTTTACCAATTAAATGCCTATTGAGCGAGGAATCCTGCAATGAGATATTAGTCTTGTAGACTAAGTTTATTGAGACGCATTGTGTTGGACTCCAAGTCCAAATTGTGATTACTAACAGCCGCTTTCTCGTTGCTCGATGAAAGTCCCGATGAATAAAGCCCACCGCTTGAGAGGAATTTCAAAAGCTTTTCATCCTTCACTTCACAGATTTGACATTGTTCAGCTTGCTCAATGTAGGCCATCATTATGAGATAATGAAATGTTGCTAACGTATTTGAGCGCATTTGTGAAGTCAGTTGATTAGGCTGCTTCGTTAGGTCATCCCTTCTCAAGACTTCGCCTTCTAAAGGTTTGTTGTCCGGACTTTCATTGTCACTTGAGCAATTACTCTCAGAGTCAGAATCATCTAGACCTTCTTTATATTCTGAAAAAGCGATGTAATCGAACCCCTCTGGATGCTTTATGACCTTTATCACCAACACCGGCGAATCAGATGTCTCGAGCTTGAGAATCTTCCCGCTGACTGTGAAGAATTGGCGGACAACGTCTCGAAAATCGAATTGCCTTGACTGGGGACGCTCCTCGTCATGGTATCGATTGTCGTCGAAATTCTCTGTTACATCAAGCGTGAAATAGAATTGTCCGTTATCACGTTTCCTCTCGACCAACTGCACTTCGCATCTGGCGAACTCTTCTTTCCAAGTAAGTGCATTTGTTTTGGTATCAAGAGAATTGAGGACACTTGCATTATAAAAAACGGAGAAGAATTTAAGATCGAATTTTGGTCCAACATATCTCGCTGTTCCAGCTCGCGGGCTAAGTATTTGACTGGAGGCAACCATGAGGTTGGAAATGGATGTTAATCCTCTGAAGGTATTGGCACACAAGCTCGTGGCATTCAATGCTAGGCTGAGGAATGGTACGATCTCGTTCAATGACGAATGAAGGCACGCAAGCTCCTTCTTAACAATATCAATGGAATCCTTGGAGGTCACTTTATTCGTCCCTTCAACAACAGCCCGCATCCGACTATTGAAGTCATTGATTTCTTTCTCAAGACTCTGGATTAGTTCTACTGTTGGCTCCAAAATTGAGTTTTTCGAGTCATTATCAAGTTTTATCAAGGATATGATCTCAGTAACGCTGCGAAGCTTTGTGTCCAATTTTGCTTTCGAGTAAAACAAAGGATCTCTCTCTGCTGCGGGCATTTTATCCATAAGCTTTGACACAGTTTTGATGGCATAACCAGATGCAAGGGTAATACCAGACCTAATAGCAAAGGATACGGCCTGGTTGCTCGCTTTTGCTAAAATCTCGTCCATGTTGGATCACTGCCTTTGAAGTAAAGAAGGCTTGTAATGATCAGGTGTCTCTCGATCTATTCACTTCGACGATATTTGGCTGTTGTCTTCCAATAGTTGTGTTTAACAAATGAGCTGAGCTCCCGTAAGCCAGAGCGGATCAACGATGCTTATCGTGTGTGCGACGCGCGTTAACAGACATCACTTGTTTGTTTTCACTGTACACCTCTATGGCGAAAAGGAAACCGCTCACAGAATTTACAACCCCACTAGGTACTGGAGCTGGTGTTCCAAAAGAGAAGAGGCCGCCACCAGTACTCGATGCGGAAGTTCGCTTGCAAAAAAAGTTTCGAGTACCCTTTGCAGATCAAACAAATGTGATTTCGGGCGAAAGAATATCAGCATTAAAGGTCCCGCTCAGAGCAGCAAGGAAAGGCAAGTCCTATGCAGAAAGTGAAGTGGATTTGAATCAAGTAACTACGAGTAACGAAGACAGCGACATGTTTATCCAGAAGCGAAGAGGAGCACTATTACCAAGAGGAATTTTATATGGAGATCGGAGCGCCAAAGCTGACTCAAAGCTTCGACGTACATTTGAAGTGCCGTTCGCGATGGAAGATGCTGAAAGGACTCAACGACAAAGAGGGCAAGCTCCTCCTCCTCTTGGAACGCGTCGAAAGATACATGTTCCACCAAGACCGTTGCATGATCCCACTAGTGAATTTGCGATTGTCCTTTACGATCCCACTGTTGATCGATTTCCTCAAAGTGAAGAGTTGGAGAAAGAAGCGGACACTGCTTCAATCCCCGACAATGAAAAGAGTGTCCCTCCCGAAACAAAGAGTAGACGGCGTGACAAACTGTTGGCAGAAATCCTAGGGATCACATGTCATAAGGATGACAAATCTCAATTTCCTGATGCTCCTGTTGTAATTGATCCACGTCTTGCGAAAATTTTGAGACCACATCAAGTTGCTGGGGTGAAGTTTCTTTACCGGTGCACCTCGGGGTTGGTTGATCCAATCGCGAAGGGATGTATCATGGCCGATGAAATGGGCTTAGGTAAAACTTTACAATGTTTGGCGTTGATGTGGACTCTTTTGAAACAAAGTCCAAGAGGGAAACGAACAATCGAGAAATGTATCATTGTATGCCCATCATCTCTCGTGCGCAATTGGGCGAACGAAATTGTGAAATGGTTGGGTGAAGGTGCTCTTACTCCCCTAGCAGTCGATGGGCGATCCGTGAAGTCTTCGGAACTAAGTCAGGCATTACAACAATGGGCGGTAGCATCAGGGCGGAACATCGTGAGGCCTGTCTTGATCATTTCCTATGAAACACTTCGAAGAAACGTCGATCGGCTTGCAGGAACAGAGGTGGGACTCATCCTAGCTGATGAGGGACATCGTTTGAAGAATGGAGACTCTTTAACATTCAATGCGTTAAATTCTTTAAGATGCGAGAGAAGAGTCATTCTCAGTGGAACGCCTATACAAAACGATCTATCTGAGTACTACTCGCTTCTCAACTTTGCGAATCCCGGGTACTTGGGGACACGGAACGAATTCCGCAAGAATTTCGAGAACGCTATTTTAAGAGGCCGTGATGCGGACGCCACAGATAGCGAAAGGGAGAAGGGCGATTCGAAACTACTTGAGCTTTCCCAATTGGTTTCAAAATTTATCATTCGTCGTACGAATGACATCTTATCGAAATACTTACCCGTGAAGTACGAGTATGTCGTCTACGTTGGTCTCACGCCTCTTCAACGAGACCTTTACGAACATTTCACAAAATCTGCCGCTAATCAAGCTCTTATAAGCTCGCAACCCCTAAAAGCCATCGACCTTTTGAAAAAGCTATGTACACATCCCGAATTACTTCGCTTACCTGAAGATATCAGAGGTAGCAGGGGAATTCTTCCTGAGGATTACCTTGATTCAAGCAGCTCTCGCGAAAAGAGTATTCACATATCACTCAGTGCTAAGTTTTCTATTCTAGAACGCTTTATTGAGAGCCTCAGACATGAATCAGATGACAAGATTGTAATAATCTCAAATTACACCAAGACATTGGATCTAATCGAGAAACTTTGTCGGCAAAGGCGATACGGGTGTCTTCGCCTAGACGGTACTATGAATATCAATAAGAGGCAAAAGATTGTTGACCGCTTCAATGATCCAAAGGGGCCTGAATTCATCTTCCTTCTATCGTCGAAAGCAGGGGGCTGTGGTATCAACCTTATTGGGGCAAATCGGTTAATTCTTATGGATCCAGACTGGAATCCTGCCGCTGATCAGCAAGCACTTGCTAGAGTATGGAGAGATGGTCAGAAAAAGGATTGTTTCATCTACAGATTTATTTGCACTGGTACCATTGAAGAGAAAATCTATCAACGTCAATCTATGAAACAGTCGCTATCCTCATGCGTCGTTGACAATATGGAAGACGTTGAAAGGATCTTTAGTGGCGAGAACTTGCGCCTTCTTTTTAAGTATCACCCCGATACTGATTGTGAAACGCATGAAAGCTACAATTGCAAGAGGTGTGTACCAGGCCAAGGACAAGTAGAGAAAGCGCCCGCCATGTTGTACGGTGATGCCACCACATGGAACCATTTAACTAGGACCGAATTGTCAGAAAATGAAGACAATCTTTTGAGGAACGAGCTGCAATTCAGCGACGTATCGTTCGCCTTCCAGTATATCTCACATTAATTTCGCGGTGTCAGATTCCGTTGGAGAAATTGCTAAATGCCGCTCGGAAGATTAGCCGATTAAATGTACAGGCGCGTCATCGTGGCGATAAGTGAATAGGAGTATGGCTTGTCAAAATGTCTAAAAATAAAGCATAAACAAACTCATCGGAGAGAGTACGCTCGCTCAACAGGGCCTTGCAGGAAATTTAAGCCAAGATGAAAGCTTCCAAGCTTTGGGCTTGCTAAAAGTTTCCATTTTGTATCAGTAGTGGCTCTCCGCAAAAGACTGCATAACTTTCTGCCCCTGTGGTGTGACGAATGGGAGGTAGGATTTAACAAAGCAGAACCCCACTGAGGGGATCGAGTAGGCGTTCGAGCATAATCAAAAAAAAAGTACTTATAAAACGAAAGACAATCCTAGTCTTGATAAGTAACTAGGAGTTTTTATTTCCGCGAGACATGCCATTACCAAGCAACTCAGTTCTTATCGTCGGGGGTGGACTTGCGGGTTTATCGGCCGCTCATGAGGCTTACCTACGTGGTGCTAATGTGGTACTTTTTGACAAGCAAGGTTTTTTGAGTGGAAATAGTGGAAAAGCGACTTCAGGAATCAATGGCGCCCTCACACGCACACAAGTCTCGTCATCAATAAAGGACTCGGTAGAGCAGTTTTACAATGACACATTAAAGACAGCCAAGGACAGAGCAAACCCCTCGTTGATCAAAGTCTTGACTTATCATAGTGCCGATGCCGTGCATTGGCTTCAGGAGATTTTTGAGTTGGACCTTTCGATTGTCTCCAGATTGGGTGGCCATTCTCAGCCAAGAACTCACAGAGGGAAAGATGCAAAGTTCCCCGGAATGGCAATCACATACAAACTTCTTGAAACTCTTGAAAATTTAGCCGAAGAGTTTCCAGATAGAGTTGCTATCATGAAGAATACTCAGGTAATTGACTTATTGATAGACGAGAAGGACTCATCCCAGGTTCTTGGTGTGAAGTACAAAGACCTTAAAACAAAAGATAAAAACACACTCAAAGGCCCTGTTATATTAGCAACTGGTGGATACGCTGCAGATTTCACGAAAAATTCTTTGTTGCGGAAATATAGGCCAGATATTATCGACCTCCCCTCAACCAATGGCACCCATGCTACCGGCGATGGTCAGAAAATTGTGATGAAGCACTCGGGTATTGGAATCGATATGGATAAAGTTCAAGTTCACCCTACTGGTCTTATCGATTTCAATGACACTGATGTCATCGAAGGGCGCAAGCAACCTCGTCACTTGTTCCTCGGTGCCGAAGCTTTGCGTGGTGAGGGTGGCATAATCCTCAACAACAAGGGGGAGAGGTTCTGTGACGAGTTAGGTACCCGTGATTATGTGAGTGGCGAGATGGAGAAGCAAATCAAGCAGGGCAACGGGCCCTTGAGGCTTGTTTTGAGTGATGAAAGCGAGGAAAGGCTTGCGTTCCATATCAAACACTACGAGCAAAGGTCGCTCATGCGAACGATACTAGGGAAGGATTTAGCTCAGGAGATGAAGATACCTATCACAAAGCTTCAAGAAACTATGGATTTATACAACCGAGCTGCCAAACATGAGATTGATGAACCATTTGGCAAAAAGTACTTTCCCACAACGCCATTCATTATTGCCGAAGATCGAAAATATCATGTGTCGTTCATTACGAGAGTTTTGCATTTCACCATGGGTGGAATAAAGATAAATGATAAGGCGCAGGTTATCTACAATGGCAACCAGGAGGAGCCCTTTCAAGGATTGTATGCCGCGGGAGAGGTCGCTGGCGGTGTCCACGGCCACAATCGATTGGGAGGTTCGTCTCTTCTTGCCTGTGTTGTGTATGGGAGACTAGCAGCCCACCAGGCGTCTAGCTTCTTGATGAGGAATCTTTCAAGGCTGCAGCCTCTCAACGAGAATCAATCGGCATCGGCGCGTTTAAATCAGATCAGTTTACATATTGATCCGAACAGGAAACAGATTACTATTGATCTCGGAGGCGAGGCTGAGGGAAATAAGCCCGTCCAGCCTGCTGCTATCGAGGAAAGTTCCGAGGCAGGTATTCCTGGCGAGTCTGCGCCGGCTAAAGGGAAGCAAAAGGCGCCCCGATTTGAAATACCTGAAAAGGAATTCACCGCTGATGAGGTGGCTAAGCACAACAGCGAGTCAGACTGTTGGGTCATAGTCAAAAATGTTGTCTTGGATTTGACCAGCTTCTTGGATGATCACCCTGGAGGCCGTGAGTCGATTTTGAACTTTGCAGGGAAAGATGCAACCGAAAGTTTTGATATGTTACATGAGGATAATGTCATCCAGAGATACGCCCCTACATGTGTCTTAGGCAGATTGAAAGGCGCAACACCATTTCTTGAGTTGAAGGATTAATCGGATATACATCAGAGGAATAGTTCATTTAGGAATCCATTCTCTAAACTAACATTTTTTACTTACCTGAGAGCAGATATTTATCATGTTGAAACAAAAGTAAGCAAGAATACATAGCATGACTGCACGATTAGAAACACTTGTGGTGAACAATCGATGGTCCAGACTCGTCGTACTCCTGCTTTGAGATCCACATTTGCTGGAAAGTGGACAAGGAAGCCAAGATAGAACCACCGATCCAGACAGAGTACTTTCTCTCTGGAGGAGCAATGATCTTCACCTTCATAGAAGATGGAGCCAAAGCAGTGATCTCCTTCTGCATACGTTCGGCAATACCTGGGAACAAAGTAGTACCACCAGACATAACAATGTTACCATACAACTCCTTACGAACATCGACGTCACACTTGATGATGGAGTTGTAAGTGGTCTGGTCAATACCAGCGGCTTCCAAAGCCAAGTCCGATGGACGGAACAAGGCCTCAGCAGCTCTAAATCTCTCGTTACCAATGGTAATAACCTGACCATCTGGCAACTCGTAAGACTTCTCAATGGCAGAAGATTGAGAGGAGGTGTGCATCTCCTGCTCGAAATCCAAAGCAACGTAACACAACTTCTCCTTGATGTCTCTAACAATTTCTCTCTCAGCAGTGGTAGAGAAAGTGTAACCACGCTCAGACAAGATCTTCATCAAATAGTCGGTCAAGTCTCTACCGGCCAAGTCGAGTCTCAAAATACCGTGAGGCAAAGAGAAACCAGCGTAAATTGGCACAACGTGAGTGACACCGTCACCAGAGTCCAAGACAATACCGGTAGTTCTACCGGAAGAGTACAAAGACAAAACAGCTTGAATGTTGACATAGAAAGCTGGAACATTGAATGTCTCGAACATGATTTGAGTCATCTTCTCTCTGTTAGACTTAGGGTTCATTGGAGCTTCGGTCAACAAGACTGGGTGCTCCTCAGGAGCAACTCTCAACTCGTTGTAGAAGGTGTGGTGCCAAATCTTCTCCATGTCGTCCCAGTTGGTAACAATACCGTGCTCAATTGGGTATCTCAAGGTCAAGATACCTCTCTTGGACTGAGCCTCGTCACCAACATAAGAATCCTTCTGGCCCATACCGACCATGATACCCTGGTGTCTTGGTCTACCAACAATAGATGGGAACACAGCACGAGGGGCGTCATCACCGGCGAAACCGGCTTTACACATACCGGAACCGTTATCGATAACCAAGGCAGCAACTTCTTCTATTCCATGTTAGTATTACCGAAAAACATACTAAGAACGATTCTTCAGTCGAGTTCATGAGTTTTCTTCAACAAGATCGCAAGACGCATCTAAAACCGTAAGCCGCGCCCCGAAGCAACTAGATTTGTCAAAAAGGGGTGTGCGCCCGAAGATCCATACACCAACGTTGGCCAACCTCGGTGTCAACAAGAAACGTTCGTGGTTACCAGGAAGAAACTAGCAGCAGGTGCTTGATTCAAACTGAACCGTTGAAGTATTTGAAAAACTCTTGGTGGGATTCGGTACAACCTGTCAAGAATGATTTGATATCTCGGCAGCATTTTGCCTCATAAACACCAAAGCAACTGAACTCAAACAGTACCCAAAGATAGGACAGACAGCCCCGTCAATGAGCAGTCCGTTTTTCAGTAATCATACTCTCAACCGTATGGTTTGAGAATGGTTTGCTGAGGTTGGCATAACATAACAGGGATTCTTCAGGAGCCCCAACGCATTCCACCGGTAAAACAGAAAAACTCATGAGAATGACTCAGAAGAATTGATTAAGCATTCGAAAGTACATACCACCGTCCATTTTGACTTAATTGATGTTTCTTATCACAACTAAAAGAAAGAGTGAGAAAGGTGGAAAAAATGAACGCTGTCATTTTAACCCATCAAGACGAACGCGAAATGTACTGCATAGATCTCACCGACGGTGGCCTTAGGTGGCCTTTTGTAAACCCGTCCACTGATCAAGCAATTTCAAAAAAAAACCATCATAAAAATAGATAAGAGATTCTTTAGATATATATAGATTTTCGTTGAAGATACTGAGCTAATGCTATCATTTACACGGCTCAGAATTTAAGTTACTTCAACTGATATGAGAGAATTTCGGTCTTGCTGGCTGCTCACGTTTCGGTTTTCGTTTTCTTGTCCTGTTTCCGAACTTTTCATTTGTTCCTCCAATTTCGCATTATGATTTGTCGCGCACAAACCCCCGCCACTCGGTCTGTTGTATCATTCGAAATGATTATCAACAGGTAAACTTGATACTAAGAGTCATGTCATTATTTTCATTGTCATGAACGTAAACTGACCTATACCGAGAGTCCGAGGCTGTTCAGTTGGGGTCAAATGATGGGTATCTTGCCGAATCGGCCCGTTCCGCCATATAGTATATTGAGCTTCGAGTTGTTCGTGAAGGTCCATCACAGTATGCAGGGTGCGGCCGTGTCTGGGATCAACAATGATCCTGTTAGCTGGCGCTCAATCCGTGCAATTTTCGTGTTTTAAGGCGTTTTCTCTAGGAAGCTTGCTTTGCATTCTCATTGTGGCTCTGACTCTTAGTAAAACCGAGGCTTTGTCATTTTTTTGGTCTCTTGAAAGAGCTCATGGCTCTGTGTGGTAAAGTTTGCAGCAAAGAGATAACATTTTCACTCCAAAAATGGTTACAGTAGTCATCTTTGCTTATGGTTTGTTAACCTCTGTAACAAATTTGATACTTTGTTCGCAGATACTCTTACTAGGTAGCTCTCGGCAGGTACATTACGAGCCATGGCTGCAGTGAGTTAAGCTGTATGTCGTATAGATTCAGCCGAGGTGTCAGCCGGGGTGGCTCCCAAGGAATAGAGGATTCAAAGTTCTTATGGTTCTGCAAGGGTCCAAGTATCTCATGCCTTAGCTCGCTCCAGTCCTAGGTACATGAAAGACAATAAGTTGGCAGGTTCCAGCCATACACTCTACCGTTGCATCTTTTTCCAATAAGTTTTTTATTTATAAAAAAAAATATTCTCCTTCTCAATCGATTGGATTCGATTTTTTATTCTTTTCTATCACTATTTCGTTCTATTTTTTTTTTTTTTTTACCTCCCAGATCAAATCATGGCGTGGTAAAGAGGCCAGGTCATGTATTTAGTGCGTAGCACTGTGCGAAACTTATAACCGTTCTTAAAGCACTTTCAGGAGTTATTCAATCACATTCGAGATGTCTTCCAGCGTGCCATACGACCCCTACATCCCTAACCAAACAACCGGTGATGAGTCTAACTCTCGTACGGCGGCCATTCAGGCGGTATGTATCACAAACTGACAATATCATTTCATTATGAACATCAAATGAAATCACAGGCATGTCCGGCTTACTAACTGAAATAGCAAATCGATGACACGGTTGGCATCATGAGAGACAACATCAATAAAGTCGCTGAAAGAGGTGAGAGATTAGACTCTATCGAGAACAAGACAGACAACCTTGCAATCTCGGCTCAAGGATTTAGAAGAGGCGCGAACAGAGTTCGTAAAGACATGTGGTGGAAGGACATGAAGATGCGTATGTGTCTTATTTTGGGTATCATTATTGTTTTGATTGTCATCATCGTGCCTATTGCTGTTCATTTCTCGTAAGCGGGAGCAAAAATTTCATCATCAATCTCACCCGGTCTAGCTTGAAGCCTACACAGTTTTTCAGTGTTAATTTGAATAAATGACTTATGTATAAATTTACAATCAGTGTTCGGACAAACTAGCTTCATAAGCTGCCTCGTCCAACAATTCCTCCTTAGCTGCAACTGTATCAGCGGATTCGGCCAATTTGATTTGTGCGATCCAGCCGCCACCCATTGGGTCCTCGTTAATCAACTGTGGTCTGCTTTCCAAGTCCTCATTGACAGCAACAACCTCACCTGCCACAGGAGCGTAGATTTCACTTGCGCTCTTGACACTCTCAACTGAGCCAATAGAATCGCCGACTTCGTAAGTCACACCAACCTCTGGCAATTCCACAAATGTAGTGTCACCTAAAGCCTCAGAAGCGTAAGTGGTGATACCAATGAAAGCGGAGTTGTCTTTGTGAACCGCCAACCATTCGTGCTCATTCGTGAATTTAACGTACTTGGGACCTTCTTCTTGGTATTTCCAGACATGCGATTGGGTGTTGACGCGAAAGTTACTAGAATTGAATCTCAAGGCAACTCTGGGTGTAGATTTGAAGGCAGGTCTAGTAAAGATGTTGTTCTGTCTGGCCAAGGCTCTGATCATTGTGTGACGATATAGTAAGAGAGGAAGTTCGATAAGCAAAGGATCCCCCAACACCTTTATATGGGGAGTTCTGCGCGCCCCAGACTCGTTGGAAGTCACGGGACGAGTCGAAAAGAGAACAGAGTCAAGATTGTGCGGCATCTTCCCCATGGCAATCTGTATATATCCTTATGAGAGTCATGGAGATGGATCGGTGAGCTGATTTCTGATTAGCCACCCATTTCAGATTTCAATCGAGCTACTCCAGAGCAAAAGTATTATTAAGAAGAGAAATAAAATAAAACTCTTTGATAATGAAGAGCCCTTGAGCAGAAGTATTCGTTATGTTCGTGGCACCTAACACACTCATATGACATTCATGAAACGGTTAGGTCGCTAAAAGGAGGTACACAAATGGTAATACCTCTATGTTCTAAAATAAGTCTTATGCAAATTTCTAGTAGAATCTCAGATCGAAGTAACTTCTAACGTAGTTCAATGATGGCACACACTGACACTGTCAAGATCCATACCAGTATCAAAATGAAGCCGAGTGTTCTGTCTGCTTGATGATGTGAAAATACAGAAAAGTATAGATTCATGAAAACAAGCACACAAAAAATAACGATGACGTTAAGGCGTAACGTCGTCGAATGGTAAATTCCAATAGTTGTGAGGTCGCTGTTGGACATCACCAACAAGGAGCTGAAACCCATTGAACAAAGAGAGAGGAGTGGACCTCCAAAGCATGCAGCAAAAGCCATGAGTGGCATTCCCATCAGAGCAATTGTTAGATTAGAAATAAGGTCTCCAACCGAATTACCCATCGCAAAAACGGTTACTCCTAATATCTCATCACTGATCCCCATGATAAGAGCCACTTGTTTCAAGATGGCGATAACCTCAGTAGCAAACACAGAAATCCAATGTATCGAGAGGACAAAGCCCAAGATTGATCCCGTGTAATTCCATGCTTTAAATACAGTCATTTGGTGTTCAAACTGAGGACATCTCGTGGGAAGGAACAAGAAGGCTATAGTAGATGCCCCTAGAAAAATTGGAGGAACTAGCAAGATAATGAAAAGCGGCTTTAAATGCATCAAGGCTAAAGTGGTTATGCCTAGTGCAAATTGAATCTTGAAAGCCATGAGATCGAGGCGAATATCATACAGTTCCCCCAAACTTGTTTGTAGTTCTTGATTTGTGGTGGGCAATGTGAAAGCATTCGAACCCCGAACTGTGTTATGAGCATATACTATTGCTTTCTCTCTAACTGGAGTCGTGAAAGAAAGAACAACTTTCGCTGGATAAGTAATGATGAAGAAAACCTTAGAGACGGTAGTGTCATCATGGTTCCAGCGAGGAACAAGCGAGTGGATCACCTCCTTGAGAAGTTTTCTCTTTATATGCTGCAGGCCCCAATGGTATTGTTGATTTGCTTCTGCTTCTTCTTCCAGTGCCGACTCGTAAAAGGTGGTGTTCTGAGTTTCCTCTTCGCGTAAAGGTTCTTCCAGGCTCCTTCCCTCTACTTCTGAATTGATGGAGTTCATCCCACGGTTTGAAAGATTGGTCGTATGCATGCTAAGCTCCTTTAAGAGGATTTTGAGACCGTAAGACCCTGTCTGCACGGGTACGGGTATATCAAGCTCCTCCTCGGGATGAGCTGCGAAATAACCTTCAACCTCTTCGAGCATTTGCCTCTCTTCGTCAGACATATCTTCAAGAGATTCGATACCCGGAAGCAGCAACCCTGCAGATGTGATCTCGTCAGTCTCCCCCTGTATGTCAGAAGCTGGAATATTAAATGTGCTTCTTATTCTTTCTGTCGTGATTCTCTTTCTATTCGCAACTTTCAACCACGAATGGTTTAACACAGCCACAAGAACATATATGGCATATATTCCAATAAGAATTGAGGCCTTCGTCACGTCTAATTCGTTCTTTTCGAGAGCGTACTCGATTACCGCGAGTACCACGATATAAAAGAAGTTGTCTCTAGTGTAATGAAACACTGGTACTTTAAACGGCGAGATTAAACATATCGAGCCTATAACGACTGTGAGAACGAATAATGTGGCACCTAGTAATTCGGAAATTGCCAATTCGGCGGATCCAATGCTGAGAGCCGTGAAAGTTCCAAATATGTCTGCTGCGCTGTTACCAATTGCAAGAAGCGTAAGACCTGCAAGATGATCTGAAAGCTGTAGAAGCTTCGAAATTGTGTATAAGTTTGGACTCAAGAAGTCCGCTGCAGTGATTCCAAGGCTCGCAAAGCTCACCGTTAAAGCCAAAATTGCAATGGACATAACTAGAACACCTGGTAAGTAGCAGTAGTATAAGGAAAGATAGTTTAGTAACCCGACATTGTATTCCTCGGTATTACAAGCTTCCCGTACATGATCACAACGCAATGCAACGGGTTTGAGATATATGTCTTTGCATTCGAGAGTGGGGGTGGTGGAGTCTTGACTCTTTGACGAATGCGCTAGCTGAATGGTTGAAGAAACCTCTGTAGGGACAGATACATGATACTGTATCATAGACTCGGGGTCATGCTCCTCTAGAACAAGTTCGGGCAGTAGGTTTGAGGATGAGTGACCAATTGCCTGACAAGTGGAAAGAATTTGTATGAAGGGTACTAGTCGAGCTCTCATAATGTGAGGTAAATCTAGGAGCAATTCCTTGATCTAGAGTCGCTCAACTGAGTTGTAGAATGCTTGGTCTATGGCAGGTACTTAACGCAGCCTTATCAGTCTATGTAGTGCTCAGATACCATGATATGCAGTTTCATGATACAGACTCATGATCGAACAACAGATTTTGACGCAAAGTGGCGAACCCGTTGGTTAAACCTTATCGGACTTTACTTTGTCTCTGAGACGTGATCTACAGTGAGAGGTGGAAGAGGAGAAAGACGATTAATTCTGAGTAATGTGGATCACAAGCCCAAATGTAAACAGTGAAACACTTTTGAAAGATAAATAAATGTATAGCTGATCATTGCACCATCTCCCATACGGGCGCACGAAGGCAATCCCTTAGTGGTAACGAGTTACCAGCGCATGAGATGCTGCACCCAAGATCAACCAATTGTTCTCCAGTCCACCATAATAATTGAGGCTAATGCCTCAAATACAACAATACTCCGATGGTCATGGGCCAAGAACGCCAAAAGGGTTCAACCTCTACGGAATGCTGTAGCGTTGTTGATGGCTGTTAAATTAGCGTTAAGGAAAAAAAAAATAAATCACGATGATGTGCCTCTTTTATGCGAGCGCTGTTGGCCGGGTAACTTAGCTACAGGTTGCAAATATTGCAAAATCCCTATGCCATCGAGTGGAAAGTTCCAACGTGAAATGAAATAAATAATGTTTTCTAGGCTCAAAATATATCTTCCTTCTAAATAATTTAAATATGTACACGATGATTTTTTGCCACGCCATCATCAAGGTCTTGGTAATGTGAAACTTCCGATTTAGAGCATCCAGCAGCTATCCGTCTATAAATGTTGCCTCCCCTTGTACAGACATCCAAACCAAACAAATGTAGTAAGCGATGAAATCAAAATATGCCCTGTGACGACTCAAGCCACACATATAGAGCTTGATAAGACAATTGACTGAGACTTTTCATGCCCTACGGGGCTGGAATTTGTAGATGTGATCGAGAAATGCAATAATTGACACATGCTTTACCACGACCATTAGAAAAACCACCATCTTTTCTTTGGCTTCTCCTGTTCATCCAGCATGAATTCCTTTGCGTATTGTCTGTGTGTATCGAGCTCTCGGAGAATTTGCTCTTCTTGGTCTTGTTGCCTCCTTTGGGCCTCCAAAACATGTCTCTCAGCTGGCCTGTTCAAAGCGAAATCACCCTCTTTAGTCAATCGTATATCTGTTGGGATGTAGTCAGCATCTCTCACATTCTTGATGATGTGGTTGTTCTTCTTGGGGTGGTATAAGTCGTCATACTCAGTTTCAGACAAGCCCACTAACATCTCCTTAGCCCTGAGACGATAACGGTAGAAATCCGACATGACATTCTCCTTTCCATCATTCCACCTGTAAAAGAAGGAAAAGTATACAATGATCGACCCTGTCAAGAAGGTGCCAAACCATCGTGTACCTGTATTGAGTCGCTGATTGGTGTCCACCTTACGTAGCACCATGTACTGGCCTGGATACAAATTAGATCTCGGACGAGGTGTATAATTAAGCTTTTTCATGGTTTCATTGATCTTCTGGTATTGCGTGGGTGTTTTCGGTATTGATGAGAAGCCTTGAGGTTCCTGGCCAGGAAGGCGAAATTCCGAGGGGTAACCCTCAGCAGGACGTAGATCTGTGGGATCATAAGGATTATAGGGAGCTTTTGGTGGAATCCAGCCTTTGGGGTTTGGTCTTCTGTCGTTGTCTGACATGGTTTCCTTGTTAGATCGATAGCTTCCTCACTTTTTTTCTCTGAGGTACTCAACTTTTTAGGCGCAGACTACGCATTTACCCCGGAGTTGAGAGAATGGAAAGCAGAAGCTTTACAATATTTGAAGTGATGCTTAGGGATAAATGAAACTTCAAACAACCTTTCGCAATACCATGAGTTTAGCAGTCCCTTACAAAGACATGCAAATCTTTTTTCGTCTTTACTGGGAGTTCACAATCTGACTTCTAAACAATACACTGTACCTCTTCTAGGATGCATGGACTACAGGCTTCACTATTCTCTCAAATCCGACTTCATGAAACTGTGGCAGCTTCGAGTAACCAAACGAAATGCTCAAATCACCAAATTCGTACGTTAATCCACAAAAGCACGTGAGATCCACATAGTCCAGTAGATTGCCGATCGTATAACCCCGACAGACTTTGACCCACTTCCGCAGATTATCGCATTAAAAGGCAACAGCAAGTATATGGGCCCTTTTCAGAAGCTCGAGGAATGTGAAGGAACAGGACTATCTCCTGAGAAACACCCGTACCTCTCTCGCCCTTCCCTCCCGCGGTGGCCAACGAATCTCGCTGATATAACGCTATCTAGATCAACTATTTTCTATTGACTTGTCTTTAAACCTATATTCTCGATCCTACTGGAATCAATTAATCCTATTTTAAAAAAGGGAACATAGGTCATGACAGCAGAAGACAAGAAACCGCTTTTGGACGCCTCTGGTGCTCATGAGGCCGACGACGCCACCGCTACTGCCATTTTGAGAAGAAAGAAGAAGGACAACGCTTTGATCGTGGATGATGCTACAAATGATGATAATTCCGTCATTACCATGTCCTCGGCCACGATGGAGCTCTTGGAATTGTTCAGGGGTGACACAGTCTTGGTCAAGGGTAAGAGAAGAAAGGACACCATCTTGGTTGTGCTCTCAGACGACGAAATGCCAGATGGCGTTGCCAGAATTAACCGTTGCGTCCGTAACAACTTGAGAGTGAGATTGAGTGATATCGTCACCATCCACCCTTGCCCTGATATCAAGTACGCCTCCAGAATCTCGGTGTTGCCTATTGCTGACACTGTGGAGGGAATCACTGGCTCCTTATTCGACGTGTACTTGAAGCCATACTTCGTTGAGGCATACAGACCCGTTAGAAAAGGCGATTTGTTCACCGTGAGAGGTGGTATGAGACAGGTTGAATTCAAGGTTGTGGATGTCGAGCCAGAGGACTTCGCCATTGTCGCCCAGGATACTATCATTCACTGTGAAGGTGAGCCAATCAACCGTGAGGACGAAGAAAATAACATGAACGAAGTCGGTTATGACGACATTGGAGGTTGCAAGAAGCAGATGGCTCAGATAAGAGAATTGGTTGAGTTACCTTTGAGACATCCTCAATTGTTCAAGTCGATTGGTATCAAGCCACCAAAGGGTATCTTGATGTATGGTCCTCCAGGTACGGGTAAAACCATTATGGCCAGAGCTGTTGCTAATGAGACTGGTGCTTTCTTCTTTTTGATCAACGGTCCTGAGATTATGTCGAAAATGGCTGGTGAATCCGAATCGAACTTGAGAAAGGCTTTCGAGGAAGCTGAAAAGAACTCCCCAGCTATCATTTTCATTGATGAGATTGACTCTATTGCTCCAAAGAGAGACAAGACAAATGGTGAGGTTGAAAGAAGAGTTGTATCCCAATTGTTGACCTTGATGGATGGTATGAAAGCAAGATCTAATGTGGTGGTCATCGCCGCTACGAATAGACCAAATTCTATTGATCCTGCTTTGAGAAGATTTGGTAGATTCGACAGAGAGGTCGACATCGGTGTGCCAGACGCCGCTGGTCGTTTGGAGATCTTGAGAATCCACACCAAGAACATGAAGTTGGCCGACGATGTTGAGTTGGAGGCTATCGCTTCCGAAACACATGGATTTGTCGGTGCTGATGTTGCGTCCTTGTGTTCCGAAGCTGCTATGCAACAGATTCGTGAAAAGATGGATCTTATCGATTTGGAGGAGGAGACAATCGATGCCGAAATCTTGGATTCCTTGGGTGTCACTATGGAGAACTTCAGATTCGCTTTGGGCAACTCTAATCCTTCCGCCTTGCGTGAAACCGTTGTCGAGAATGTCAACGTCACCTGGGACGATATTGGAGGATTGGACGACATCAAGAACGAATTGAAGGAAACCGTCGAATACCCTGTGTTGCATCCCGATCAATACCAGAAGTTCGGCTTGGCCCCATCGAAGGGTGTTTTGTTCTTCGGTCCTCCAGGTACTGGTAAAACCTTGTTGGCAAAGGCCGTTGCAACTGAAGTTTCCGCTAACTTCATTTCTGTCAAGGGTCCAGAGCTCTTGAGTATGTGGTACGGTGAGTCTGAATCCAACATTAGAGATATCTTTGACAAGGCCAGAGCTGCTGCACCAACAGTGGTCTTCTTGGATGAATTGGATTCTATTGCGAAGGCAAGAGGTGGTTCTCACGGTGACGCAGGCGGAGCCTCAGATAGAGTGGTGAACCAGTTGTTGACAGAGATGGATGGTATGAATGCCAAGAAGAATGTGTTCGTGGTTGGTGCCACTAATAGACCTGACCAAATTGATCCTGCTTTGTTGAGACCAGGTAGATTGGATCAGTTGATTTACGTTCCATTGCCCGATGAGGGTGCAAGATTGTCGATCTTGCAAGCTCAGTTGAGAAACACTCCATTGGAGCCTGGTTTGGAGTTGACCGAGATCGCTAAAATCACAAACGGCTTCTCCGGTGCTGACTTGTCTTACATTGTTCAAAGATCTGCCAAGTTTGCGATCAAGGACTCCATTGAGGCCCACATTAGGCTCGTGAAGGAGAAGGGAGATGGAGAAGTCAAACAAGAAGAGGGTGATGACGTCGACATGACCGATAAGCCAAAGGCTGAAGAGGAAGAGGACCAGGAAGATCCAGTTCCTTACATCACCAAAAACCACTTCGAGGAGGCCATGAAGACAGCCAAGAGATCTGTCTCGGACGCCGAGTTGCGCCGTTATGAGGCCTACGCTCAGCAGCTACAAGCATCTAGAGGTCAGTTCACCAACTTCAGATTCTCCGAGAATGAGGGTATCGCCGGCGAGTCCGGCGCTGGCGCAGCTTTCGCAAATGAAGCCGAAGAAGATGATTTGTATAGTTAGACGTACTTATCGTGGATAATGAGTTCAATATATGGTACCGTTGGTCAATTGTTGTAAATGTTTACGCTTGGGTCATCTAGTTAGCCCACCGTGCATAATGTGGGGTCCTAAGGTTGAGTGCAATTGAAAGCGAGAAGGAAGGTAGAGACATTTGAGCTTCTGTGTGCCTCGGGGATAAGTGTACCTTCCTAAATCATTAAATGTGTGTGCGCTTTTAAGAAAAGTTCCCCGATAATAATTTTTTTATTTCTTGTCGGCTTGTATGGAAATCACCTTAGGTATGACTGCAGAGGTTGTATGACGAACAATAGGAGCAATGAGCAAAAGTGAGACGGAAAATCTCAAAAACTTAATCATCTCAAACACACTTTTTCCTTATCTACCAGGATCACAAAAGCAAGGCTTCTCTACCTGCTTCATTTCGAGAATTTTATTTTGTTATATTGCATGACTGTCTTGCTTATCGAATGAGTATCATATATTAGATACTTCACTCCTAGAGTTTATCTGATTCCGCTTTCACCTTTTTACCTCAAACACCTTGCATTATGAGAGGACTCTCGAACGGAACCATTTTGGCCATAGGCCCTGTCTTTATTGTTGCAGCTGATTTCATAGCAACTAGATTTTCCAGTGGTCTGCTGAAGAAGGCATCCACCAAAACTCAGTCATTGTTCAGAAACCATGTTTACGGAACTCATTTCTACAACACCAAGCTACTGAAAGTTTCAAAGAACCCATAATACCATCAACTTTGCGACTGGCTCGCAATGGCAAAGACAGAATTCAGTTTCTCCACATGTTACATTTAGTTTACGATATAATTTGCATTTAATGATTAAGATATTTCACTATTAGTCTTATTGACGCTTTTCACGAGATCTCTTTGGTACCCTGGCAAGCCAATAGAAGAACAAGGTTCCAATGATGTTGATGAAAATGTAGGCAATGAAGATGCCCATGTCTCTCCAGCGGTAATTGTATTGGGCGCTGACCGAGTCCAAAAACACATTAGTCGAGCTCACGGTACAGAACTCACACTGATCAGTAGCATTTTCGTCGACCAAGTACCCTCCCGCAAACAGCATGTAAGTCGCCATGTACTCGCCGCATGTTCCCTCTTCTGGTGTGAATCTCAACAACTCAACATCGGAGCATGTCACATCAGAATTCGCCAAACCAACCGAAAGGACCGTTGAAACAAAATATGTGAATGGACTGCACCGGTACATGAAGATCCAGAACCGTGGCATGTCATCCTTGGAAGACAAAACACCGCAGAACATCAAACTCATACTGAACAACAAACTTGCCAAGTTAGCAGCGTTGTTCGCCAATTCCGAGAAGGAGATACAGAGCTGGCCCATAGTGGATGTGTAAATGTAGAAGCAGACAATTGCGAGCCACATTGTAGCTCCACGCTCAGCCACTGTATCAGTAGGAACAGCATTATTGTAGAGACCAGTGGGATAGTACCAAACGAAGAAAGCCAAAGTACCACAGACAATGTTCCAAGGAATTTCCGCAGTAACAAGCGCCAAAATGAAAGTGATCCATGAGTACGTTCTGGAAGGACGTTCTCTTACCTCGTAAAGGTCTCTTTGAGCCACAAAGTGAGGAAGATATTGCTGAATAAGAGTGTTGAATACCACCATGAACATGAAAACTGAGAACATCTGGTTTTGAAGACCTTGAAGGGACTTGTCAGCTTTGAAAAATGTGAAACCGTTGAACATAGGTGCGAGGACAGAAAGCAACACTTTTGAGTAGGTATACGATGGTGTTCTCCAATACTGTTGGAAAACTCTCTTCGTAACCAGCTGGTATTGAGCCCACAAGCCTCTAGCATACTTTTTGTACTTCTCAGGATCCTCCGATACTGGTCTCTTGGGGAGCTCCCTGTCCATTTCATCAAGCTCTTCAATCACTTCTTGGTATGCCTTGGACTGACGCCAGACTTGATGGTAATCTCTATCAGCATGGGAACCTGGTGCAGCGCCAATAACTTCCAACATCCATTCGGCTGGGTTGGCGTGATGTGGACATTTAGGTGCTCCTTCACCTTCGAAGTAGTCGATCATGGTTTGGCAGTTGTCTCCCAAATCACCGAAGTAGACAGTCTCTCCACCCTTCTGCAAGAAAAGCAAGCGGTCAAACTCTTTCATCAAGATCGCTGAAGGCTGGTGAATCGTACACAAGATAGCCTGTCCATGGTCAGCCAACTTCCTAATCAATTTGCAAATGGACCAAGCGGTCTGGGAATCCAAACCAGATGTTGGCTCGTCCAAGAAAACCAATAATCTGGGCTTTGCAACCAACTCGACAGCGATAGTCAATCTCTTACGCTGCTCGACGTTCAAACCTTCACCAGGCACTCCCACGACGGCGTCCGCAAACTTTGTCATCTCCAAAAGTCTAATGATGTACTCCACGTACTCATCTTTTTCGGCCTTTGAAGTACTTGATGGCTGTCTCAAGTAAGCAGAGAATTGCAATGCCTCACGAACGGTAGAAGTCTGAAGATGAAGGTCCTGCTGCTGAACGTAACCAATCGATCTTTGGAATGCAGAGTCCAATTCACGCCCATTAACCATACGTTTGCCGTCTGTGACATCACCTGAAGTCAATCTTTCTGATAAAGCATTCAACAAAGTCGTTTTACCTGCACCAGATGCTCCCATTAAAGCTGTCACTTGGCCTGGTTTGACCCATCCGTCGACGCCATTCAAGATCACTCTATGCTCCGACTTGATTTTGACTTGGTAGGTGAGGTTTCTCCAGTGAAAGATATCGGATGTGTTTGGAAGCTTCTTGTCACTGATATCAGAGTCATCGTCATCCTCAAAAAGATCTTCACCTTTAAGCTTTTCATCTAGAGTTGCTGACTCCAAATCACTGTTTTCCTTCAACTGCTTTCTCCTCTTGCGTAAAGCAGACTCCTGGAATACAAGAATCTCACCATTTTGCATTGCCCCCTTGTTGATTTCAACAAGGAAAATGTAGATACAGAAGAAGAAAACAGCAAATGCAATAACGATGCCAAAGTTCCTCCATTTGTGAGCATTTTCGTACTCAAATGAGAGTCTGATAAATTCATCTCCGTTAACATAGTCCTCACCAGGGTTGGCACCTCTTTCCAGGCAAATCACACTGTCTCCCAGCGTAGGATATCCTGGTCCAGAAGGAACGTAAAGAGAACAAGGGAAGTCTCTTCCGTGGAATTCATTGGCAACTAAAGCTTCGAAAGCATAGGCGACCACATCAATGTAGTTAATCCATCTGCACCAGCCGTGCATGTCTTGTGGAGGAATAACAAAACCGGTGAAGATGGTCATGGCTGTCAACAATAACGAAGCAGGAGTCATTGCCGATGACAAGGATTTCGAGGCAGCACCAATGCATCTGAAAAGATGTGACATTGCAATGGTGCATGAGAAGTTGATCAACAAGTAGAAGAAAAAGTGCCCGGCACTTCTCCGCAAATGCACAGTGAAGTAAAGAATAACGTTGAAACAAATGCACTGAATGAGCTTGGGTGGGAGCTCTGTCATAATGGATGCAAACGCATCGGCAGCTGGGTGGTATAATGCGTAAGTCTTGTGTTTCTCGACAATAGGACGGGCTTCGTAGAGGGAGAAAATCTCCAAAAGAGAGCCGAAAGCATTGAGAAGAACTGCAAAGAACAAGACAGCGGTTCTTCTATAAAAGGAGTCAGTGTCCGGATTCAAATCAATGAACATCGTGGAGACAATGACAGACATGATGATGTTACCAATCACACTGAAGAGTGTAATCGATGGATCTCCTCTTGTTCGGCTAAAGTTTCGCTGCATCAAGTATTTCACTTGCATTCCAAAGGAAACAGTGTATGGGGACTTAGCTCTAGAATTCTTTGCCTGACGAGCGTTGTGAGATTCACTGAACTGCTTGCGCTTGTCTTCTATTTCTTGAGAGTCCAAGTAGTGGTCGATTTTTTTCAAGATGTTCGATCTCTCCTGTGAAGCCTGCCAGTAATCATAAAACTCCTTAGGCGTTCTAGGAACCTTATTCTCGAAGCCTTCCCTGACTTCTCTCTCTATAGGGTTGGTAAGAGAAGTCAAAAAGTCAGCTGTCGTTTGTCTCTGAGGACAGTGGTAACCCATGTTTGTGAAAAACTCTTTGGCTTCACGAGCTGAGCCATTGTAGATTTGGTATCCCTCATACAAGAGAATGACGTTGTCGAACAAGTCGTAAGCATCTTGCGAACACTGATAGATGGCAATTAAAGGTGTCGTTTTGGTCACTGTCGCAGAAGTCTTCAAAGCTCTAACAAACTCCAAAGCAGTGGCAGAGTCCAATCCACGGGTGGAGTTATCCCAACATTGTAGGCATGCCCTAGACAAATGAACTTCGGCGATGGAGACTCTCTTCCGCTCACCACCAGAAACACCTCTGATGTACTCATTTCCAACTTTTGTGTTTCTTGTATGCGATAAACCGTAGGTAGCCATGGCAACTTCAGACATGTGCTTGGCATAGTCCGTCCTCGAGATACCCTCGGGTCTGTTTTTCGGTGTTCTCATTTTGGCAGCAAACTCTAGTGTCTGTTGGACTGTCATCTGAGGGAAATGAGATTCGGTTTCAGCACAGTAGACAACGTCACCTCTGTAATGCTTCTTGATTTCCTGGGGGGTGAGTCCATCGTACAGAATGACGGAGTTGTCATCGATATGGAAACCATGTGTTTGAGAAGCAATGGTCTTCAAGAAGGTGGAACAGCCAGCACCCGGTCTTCCCAAAACCACCGTGACAGACCCTGGTTCTATTATACCATCCATGGGTTTCAAAATGTCAAATCTGGTTCTCTCACGATAAGAGCTTGACCGATTTTGAATGAATTGAGAAACATTCTTGTAAATTGCATTGGCAAAGTTGGACTGGTAGTCAGCGTCAGCAGCCTGACCATAAGCACGGAGCCCCTTGTAGACAACGCCCAAGGAGGCCGGTTTATAGTAATCTGGGTCCGAACAGGCCAACTGATGCATGTTCTTAACCCAAAACTTTGAGTCAAAATCGTCAGAATTGGGATCCAAGCGGGGATCCAGCGTCTGATCCATTGGGTTGACACCCGGCACCAGGAGCTGGCTGAGTTTTTTTGTCAACGAATGGTTCACCAGCTCTCCGGTTGCGGAGTGGTTGGTAGCCGTGCGGGCTAACATTCTGATATCCTTAGCGACTTCATCGGTGAAGCCTTCGTACTGCTCCAGGCTGGGTCGTTCTGTTTCCAGCATTGAAGGCAAATTAAAGAAAAAATTGAGATGTGTTTTTCCATGGATTTGTCACCCGGTTCTTATAATGTGTCTCCACAACCGGGTCGGCTAGCGAAAAACAATGCGATCCGGCCGGCAGGCCATGCGCACGAGCAAAGCACTAGAGACGGGGATCATGCTAAGCGAGTTTTTCATTATTAACAGGTTTTTATGCTTCGTATTCTTTAGGCATCCTAATCCGGACATTTTGGTGGTATTTCCGATAAACTTCCATAGTTCTCCCACTTGTGGGGAACGATGGTGCTGGATTCTTCAATAGCACACGGCTGAGCCATATGCAAGGGAACCTAAGTTTCGGGAGCTCACTGTTTTTTTGTCTATCCGGACCCGGAACCTGGGTGAGTTCCGAAAGCGCCCTGCCCGATTTTCTATGATAACGCGGGCATCGAAAAATCTACGGCTCCGAGAATCATGCCGTTCCGTGCTGCCATGAAAATAATGACAAAGGCTACGACAAGGCCGAGCCGGTGTATGACCCCTTAGTGGTAATCCCCGCTTCGCCTTATATTAGTTGGGCCGTTTGAGACCACGTAGGCTGTTATCAATTTAATATTCGGCTCTCTGTGTGCATCGGCCGGTATTATTGTGGCTCGTTGTGTTACCCTGTTGACTCCAATTGATCAAGTGACTCCGTGAATCGCCGAACCCGACTTCTTCCTATACGTCAATATCTGAACGCCGCTTTGTATTATCTATACAAACGTTAATATCCTTCTGTCCAAGAACTCAAATCTTCACGCCTGGCATGTCCTTGCCGATTCTAGCCGCAATGCCTACTGGGTTGGCGATCACGCTGTCCAAGTCCCAAATGCCGCTTTTGTAGTAAATGTCCTTTTTCAAGAACTCAAGGATTTCCTCCTTGGACTCGGCATACAAGTGGAAAGTGCTTCCGGCGAATTGGGTCTTTTCAACGTCCTTGTAGATGGCACCCACAGAAGTGACAATTCCGTCGTTGACTGTTGCTGGAATGCCTTGAACGTGTTCAGCTCTCACTGGTGTTCTGTCCACACCGGGCTTGTCAAACACAATAACGTTCCACTCGATTTTAGCCATTTTTGGTGCAATTGAAGGGTGTAATTACTTGAGTTTAGTTCGCGCGGTTATCTTGATTGACAGCTTGACACTTTCACGCCCGCAATCTCCGTGGGGACAAACAAAAGAATCAGATTTCAAGGCACCAAAAAAAATTGGTTGAGGGGAAAGTTGTTTCTAGTCACCTTCTCTTGCTGGATTTAGGTTGCAAAAATAAAGGTCCCACTGGGGTTCGAACCCAGGTTACCGGAATCAGAATCCGAGGTGATACCACTACACTATAGGACCGGAACCTTTGTTGTCAGCCAAAAAGCGTCTGACAAGTAAGGCCAAATAGCATCCTGCATATAGCTTCCTGAAGTTCGAAAAGGTCAATTTTTGAAAGCAGTCACGGCTGCCCTCACTTCATAGTAGGAGGACCTATTCTATTATGTTAGGAGATCCTGGAAGTGCCCTTAACATGTCTCTTTGAACTCTGGTCGCTTGTTTACAGCGTAATGTTTATCAATTTTGAAAAGCTCTGCCACAAGCTCCAACATGTGGAAAAACTAGAGGTCTCACTACATGGAACGATGAAATACACAATCTTCAATTGTATCGAAGGTGAAACTACTGTTTTGAGAGGTTGATAGCTTAATCCTTGTATTTTTTATATAGCTGGGACATCACTTCAGTATCCCGAAGCAGGGAGATTTGAAGCCATCAGCAGTGAAAGGCTTATTTTCATTACATATTCTAGTAGGACGCCGGTTTTATAAAAGCCCAGAGCCCATAAAAAGTGCTAGCAAACAGAAAGAGTTGGTGCTACGAATGGTCATTAAATTCTCCTGAATGTTCGTTTTTTCTTATATTTTCGTTAACCAATATAGCAAAATGCCTTCTATCGTGATAACTCGATGCAAAATCGTTCGTTGCAAACCATCACTGCCTCGTTCAGCAGTCCGGTCGCCACGAGTGAAATAAATGAGCGGGTCCTCGTCTACGAGATGGCGACGACGGACGGAGCGAATCTAACCCTTCCATCCAGGCCGCAGCCTCCCAATATCTGATGTGTATCAATGCCAAAGCATGGAATGTATGCATACCAAGTGATTAGTTTTCCAATGGGGCGTAGTACTTGATTCTCTCCTTTCTTGGGCCCAAGTCAGCGGTCTTGATACCAGCACCAAACTGATTGCCGTATGGAGAATGTGTAGGGATAGCAGTGGTTGGGACAGCGCCAATGACTTCTCTTCTGTGCTGCTTCAGGCCGATACCGCCCTTGTCTCTGATGAAAGACTTGATGAAAGAGGTCTTGTACTTTCTGGCGTAAGCTTCGTTTCTCATTTGCACACGCTCCTCCACCTGGTTGTACAAGGGAGTCTTGATGACAGGCTCCTTGGTAGATCTGTAGAAGAAGAGGGAGACGCCTGCCAAAAGAGCAACGCCAAACACTTTGGTAACGTCGATTTCGTTTTGCGATGGAGCTGGGGCATCGTGGTGGCCCGAGGAGTTGAATCTCCTAAAGTTTATTCTGGCAGCACGAGCTGAGGCCCTGAACATGATGTGATTGTTGAGTTATGGAGTAATTAGCTGAACCAAAGCTTGAGTACACTAAGATGCGAAATGTTCTGGCCAATGAGAATCAGCTGGTTTTCAATTGAGCACGGCACGTAAGTGCCAAAAATGTTCTGTGAGCGCACCGGCAGGACAGGAAGCTAGTTGGTCAAAAATGGCTGCGAAAGTCTTTTCGACTTCTGCTGTAGAGTCTCTTAACAGGGTGGCGGAGTGATGGGATTTGATCAACGAGTCGATTTTTCGAGTTTTGATGAGATTTCAGGTTAGTAGTCTTCAAACGTGGTACATGCAAACCCCTGGTCAGCTCAGTATCGGTAGTCGACTTGACAGTTTAGTAAGGACACTGGGGTCACCTCCCGAAGTAGAGATTTTACTGTAAGCTTCAACTCTTCAATACCTTCCTCTCTAAACAATACATTACATTGCCATTAACAAGTGTTCAATTGCCTGCTCCTGGACCGAGGTGACCTCGGGACAGCTCGACTGTTATTGCAGCCAAGTCGCACAAACACAAATAGCATTGCAACGAGTTCAACCATAAAAGGCTGATACCATTACAATTGCATTTCCTTGTGGCCTTTTGGGTGTCTTCCAAGATCCAATCCACATCCCACGTCTGTATCCCATGCCTAAATCCCTTTACCTACATCCCACAAGATACGTATCTGCCACTGGCATATGTCAAATTATCCTATAAATCTAGTAGCCAACGCCAATCAAGTAGTCGGCCAACTTCTCCACAACAGCAGTGGCCTCCTGGGGCTGAACGCCCGATGGGTAGTGGGCTACCACAATAGCCTGCTTGGTCTTGACGGCGACAATTCCGGTGTCGTCGAGCTTACCGTACACGGATCTGTCGTCAGCTCTCAACAAAAAGTACTTCTGACCCTCAATGTGCAAGCCGTGGGCCTGCAAGTTCAGGGGATCAGAGTATGCACCGGCAATGGCCTGAATCTCTTGAGGAGCAATTTGGAATCCTCCGGATTCGGCCCAGAGAGAGTCACCGGCAGCCGAGTAAAGAGCGGCCTTGTCAATCTTGCCGGTTGACTTGAGACTGTCTGTGTAAGCGTTCCAGGACATTGAGGTTTGGATTTATGTGAAAGAACTGTGGTGAGTTGTGTGGCTAGAGAATTTATACCTTGCCATGTCTGACCTCACGCATTCAGTTAGTGGTGCACGGGTGCCGATCTGGCCCCTGCAAACCGAGTTTGAGGTTGCCCGAGCTTCACCGTATACCGAGATACGATCTTTGTCCTTTTTCGCGGTTTTTGCAGCCGCAATGGTTTCAGTGTGCTGTCTTATTCTATTAATTGCAATTTCGGGAGGATTTCTATAGTATGATCAGTGTGTCCTCGACCGACCCGTTGGTCTTTCTCTTCTTCGATGGTGGCTCGTCATCTAGAACAACCGTGGTTGTTTCCATCTCTTCGTCACTGGGTGAATCTGGCTCCTCGTCAAATTTCACCTTGGCTCTGAGCTGGACGTCGGGAAGCGCGTTTCCACCATTATCTTGTACTTCTTGAATGTAGAGCTCGAGGTTTTCTAGTTCTTCCTCTTCATCTTGAATCAAGAGCACTTCGTCTGTTGCAAAGCCCTGGATGTCTTGAAGCTGTTTCTCTGCATTGTCATCGAAATCGAAATCGTAAATCAATCTCGACTTGCCCAAAATCACAGAAATGTCACCCGAATAGCCGTATTTTGCGCTGACTTGTTTCACTAGCTCTGCAAGTGTCATCTTGAAATCGTTCTTCGTAAGTCGTATTATTGCCTTTGTGATTCCAGAACTAGCACACTTGGGGTTAGGTCCCTCGACAGCGGCTGACGTGATTCGTTTGTTTGGCTTAATGGAGATAAACACACTCTTTGTATCTTTTGCAACGAAATCGCTGTTGAAATACAGCAAAGAGCCCAAGTTCGAGAGACCGCTTATTATGGCATTGGTCGTGGCAATGGCAGGAATGATGTTTCCAGCTATTTGTTTGATGTCGAACTTGGTTTTCAATGGTATATGGAAAACATGCGATCTCAAGTTGGCTGCGGCAGCGACAAAATTAAGAGTGTCCTCATCATCCTTGTCGAAGGTGATGATAGTCTGCTTGCCTGACTTCACCCTCTGTTGAAGGGCCTCGGTAGACTTGAAAAGAACATATATGTTTTGCAACACCGACCAGTCGTGGGTGTCGTCGGTCAAGAGTTTTGCGTTTTCTGGGTTGCTCAAGAGTTCGTCTAGGTCCTTCTTGTAAACTTTGTCAAAATCAAGAGGATTAGGTGGCACCCTGTTCTTCCAAAGACTCTCTAGTCTGAGGGACTTCTCGACGTCGTCTTTGTAAATCTTCTTTACCAACTTCGTAGGGAAGTCGTCGTCGGAGACCAACTTTTTAAGAGCTGATAACTCATTGGCTTGCAGAAGGATCCTCTCAATCTCCTCTGGATCATCTGTTTCCTTGCTCAATTCAGCTTGATTAACCTCTTTCTCCAGGGTCTCATCAAAGAGTTGAGTGAAGAGGAACTCCTTGGCCCATACAATGCAGTGAACTGGCTGGGATGGAGTTGATCTGATGGTACAGACTGGGAATGTCTGGGGAGTAGCCTTTGGCTGACATTCAAAACACTCGGTGCTGTAAGGGTAAATTGGTTGAATCTGGCCCTCAAAACCAGTAGTTCCTGATTCCATGAGTGGCTTGCGAAGAAAGAGAGCCAACTTGTTGACATACCTACGTGCTTCTAGGTTGTCTAGCGCGTTGTAGATGTAGTCGAACTGTGACCACCATGAAAGTGGGAACAAGTTGGTGTCCATCACATTACCGTGGTGTGGGACTAAATTGGAGTCAAAAAAGTTGAAGCTCTGCACAGCTTGAGCAATTGTAAGTGACTTCAGCTTATCGATGTCCTTCTGGCGAAAGAGGAACTGACGGTTCAAATTCGATAGCGTGATGGTATCCAAGTCAACGATGTGAATTTCTCCAAAACCTGATAAGAGCAAGTCCTTGAGAAGCTCACAGCCGATTCCACCGGCGCCAACCATGACAATTTTGGAAGACTTGATACGCTGTAGTCTCTCTGATCCTAAAATCTTCTTTAAATAAACATCCTTGGGCATTTTGGCTGTGGATGTGTTGGTGAGCGTCTTGATAAGTGTGTACTAGCTCTGGTGCATGGGTGTACATCAGGCTTTCCAACTCTACCAGAGATAAAGAACTTGGGTGAATTTTAAATATTGGATTGGCTGTGAGTCTTCTTGTGTTTTAATAATTGTAACTCAGTTAGTCATAGTGTTATTATTGAAGTGTCTGATTTTTTAAGCTGAGGACCTCTCTCATACATTGTGGCACTAGTGGAGAATATAACTATATTCGCAAAGTTCAAGGGAAGAATTCAGAAAAGGACAAAATTGTATACTGCAAAGAAAATATCAAAAATTATAAAAAATCAAAGCTAGATGAAAACGAGGAATCTCACCATCC